AAGTTTCAGATTCTGATTTTCCGCCGTTTTTCGTGATTTCTTACACCATAGCGTGCAAGGTTACGTCACGCATCAAACATTTCCACCTTTATTCCTGGTTGCACGTGTACAGGATTTATGCTTGGAGGGCTGCGAAGTTTTTTCAGTTTGAAATTGACATTGCTAGGCTGATGCTTGCAAAAACCTTTCGTCTTCAGAGAAGCCTTTTCGGTGGGATCTTTCGTCGCTGTGTTTTGTTTTGTTTTGTTTTGTTTTTTTTCTTCCACGAGCGACGTCAACCATATTTGTTTGACTTATGAGAAGAAATACGTCATGCATAGAGAAGTAATATGCATCAGGAACCAATACTTAAAATGCAAATTTCGTCTTTCGTGTTTTGAATTTCTTGAAACAATAAACACTTCACTTGAGAACTTTCAACAATTCGAGCGCCTTCTTTCGTTCTTCCGTTCAAAGATCACAACACAGTTGAATATGGAATCATCATCTACTTCAACTAAGATAAGCTCATCACAAACGACGAGGCAAAAAGAAGACCTTTTTCCAATGGATTACTCCGTCGAGGAAACTTCTGTCGCGGCTGCCGCCTTGCTCATTATAATAATTGTATGTTTAATGGGAAATACTGTGATTTGCTACGTATTCTTTCGGAATAGACGAATGTGGACTGAGATGAACATGTTTTTGGTAAATCTTGCCATTGGAGACATCGCAATGAGTTTATTATCGATGACAACTGCATTGCAAACAGCTATCTCTGGGAAATGGAAATATGGTGTTGGACCTGTCTGTCAGCTCAACGCTTTCTTTAACTCGGTTTTATTCTGCAATACAGTATTTACTCACACTGCGATCTCAATAGACAGATTTTTTGCTGTGGTGAAACCAATGAGAAAGGTAATGACCAGGAAAAAAGCCTTGTCTACTATACTGGGGGTATGGGTACTATCGGTTGTTATATCACTAGGACCTCTGTTTGGCTGGGGCGAAAATGACTACAACGCATCCACTTTACAATGCGGATTTGACTTCCCAGAAAACACGAAAGAAAACTTGTATATATTATGCCTTGCATTTGTCGCCTTTCTGTTACCCATCGTAATAATGAGTTATGTGTATGTGAGAATGTATTTGGTCGTGCGACGTCATACAAAAAGATTATCGACAACAGTATTTGGCAATAGCCAGGAAGTTGCCATTAAAAAACAGCGGAGAACTGTCTTGACCTTTTTCCTTGCTTTGATGGTGTTTGTTATTTGCTGGACACCTTTTTTTGTGTTCATTGCAGTTGCTGTTTCAGTTCAATCTCGTGATGAATTACCACATGGTTTAGGAATAGCTGCTTACTGGTGTGGTTTTTTAAACTCGGCTGTAAATCCTTACTTGATTGGTCTGAGAAGTGAAAAATTCCACGAAGCCTTTAAACATTTATTTTGCTGTAATTTTAAGGCCGCAAGTCACGCGAATGAAGCAAGGTATTATTCAACTAATCAAACAATCAATACTGGAACTGCAAAACATGTCATAAAAGAACAGATCACTTCGCATCGAAATGGCCATGATTCCTTGGGCCATGTTAATTCCGCATTCGTAAACTTTAGCCTGCGCCATGATAATGATGATGAAACAGATTCCGCTCCTTTTCGACAACCAACAAAGGATGTTGTTATACAAAGATCAAGAAAACAAGGCCATCATAATGATGCGGTGGCTTATCCACATTTTATTCACATGGCTCATGGCAAATTGTGGAGCGAGGCTACTGTCTGATCTATCATGATTGTATACACTGAGGAGTGCAATCTGGCTGACCCTCGTGAAGCCTGCAAGAGTGGAATCTTGAGACATCACGTGGTGGACCACACCCTTTTCCCTATTTCCCGAGACCATTTGCTGATTACAATTGGCCCTTTACTTGGCCTAGCCTGCGTAGCAAGACTAGTTTCTACCCAAGTGATAGACTTGCCTACAAGTCGAGCTCACATTTGTTCAAGAGCACTAAGCCCGAGCTGTAGATTTTTTTTATGCGGCAAAAGAGAGCGAGATAGCGGAAATGAGAAGCGAAGGACTTTGAGAAAGTCTACCCAAGTAACTGCGCAAAAGTTGGCCTAGAGGGGCTACAACGTTTTCGTCGAACTCTCGCGACCTGGCTTTTGCTACGAAGGTAAGACTTGACAAGTGATTTACCGTAGAACAGGTCAGGACAGCGTCCAGAATGGATCGGGATGTGTAATGTCAGTTACTGATAATGTTAACCAGTAAAAAAGTCCATTTGCTGTAAAGCGGTAATAAGTGACAAATCCAAAACCTTTGTACAATACTGAATTGTTGTTGTTGTTGTTGTTTTTAACGAAGCTTAATAAGAGTTGACTGATCTGATGAATATTCGGAATCATGGGGGGAGAATGTGTTATCAGAATATAAGTGGCTCCGGGAGTGGGCAGGATGGAGCAATTACTGTGTTCTGATTGGCTGGCGGTTTGTTCCGAAAGTAAATATTTAAGTGTTTTGGCCGACATATATGCCTTATTGACCAAGCTTTATAGGTCAAGAGGACTGATTATTGGCCCCATTGGCATGAGAAAAATCTGGCCATTTAGATCCAGTAATCTTGAACTCAGGCTTGGTCAATAACTCATTCATCATTAGCCTGTAAGCAAGCTATCCGGGGCGCTCTGGCGGCGGCCGGAGGCGAGCTGACACCAGAGCGCCGCCTCGGCCGAGAGCTTGCTCGCAGGCGAAAAGATCACATATATTTCGCCTGGCCAACACCAATCTCCATCAGGTTTATTACAAAGAATTACGAACATAAACGTGAAAAGGTTCCATATAACGCATCTTCAGAAGAAGGACCGAAAGTATGGTGACCGGTAGCAGAGGAGGTCCCCTCGAGTTAACTCGTTGGTGGTAGGGGGAGGGGGGGAGGGAGTCGTCTACTAAGGGGGTCGAAGTGCATGCGCACCTCAGAAAATTTGAAAAGTCGATGTTCTGAAATGCCTTTATAACTATTATCCTTTAATTAATGATTTCTTCAAAATAGTAGTAAAGCGCGGAATATTTACTTAATACATTACTGCTATCAACAACATGTTGTGAAAGTCGAAAAGCTCCTTGAACTGAAATTTTACAGGTAAAAATTGGTAGTAAAAACTCTATTATCAGGTATTCTCCATGCGCACACTTGCAGAGTTCCCTTAGTAAGTTTTCTTCTTTTGATTTTTTGTCTGTTGTTCGTGCTCTTGATAAATGCTGTAAACTTGCTAGGAACAACAAGACCAAGCAGGTTTTTCTCAACTTATTTTGCCAAAAAAGAAATGTTGAAGAAATGTCCAATTTTTAACCTATGGACTAACGCCTTAGAAAAAATGCAAATTTTGTGCCTTTAATAAATCGACTTTCTTATTGTCTAGAAAGGGACGTTTTCTATCTAGAACGTCACTAAACACTTCCTCTCGGCCTATATTGCCTAAAAAGAAAAAAATAAAGAAATTTCACATTTTTTGACCAAAATAAAAGTCTGTTTTCTTTCCTTCGATGTTGTTATGGTGTAAAAAGTCTAGTTTTGTTTTCCTAGAACGTCACCAAACACTTTTTCTCGTCCCATGTTCCCCAAAAAGAAAGAATGAAGAAATTTTACGTTTTAAACCAAAACCATGCACTAACCCTTTTGGCAAAATGCAAATTTTGCTACTTTCTTAAATGGTTGCTTTTATAGTCTAGAAACGCTACCATAGCTTACTATCTTGAAGGCCACCAAACAGTATTGGTCGCCCTATTTTGCCTCAAAAGAAACGATGAAGAAATTTCACACACTTTTTTGGCTGACTTTGCTTTAAAAGAAAGGATGGAGAAATTTATCACTTTTAATCAAAACCATGGAATAACCTTCTGGAAAATGCAAATGTTGCGAATATTCTAAACTCGATGTTTTTATGATCTAGAAGGGCTAGTTTTCTTTCTAGAACGTCACAAACACTCCTTTTCGGCCTACTTTGCTTAAAAAGAAAGGACGAAGAAATTTCACATTTTTGACCAAAACTATAGACTAGCCCTAATTTCTTGCTGAAATTGATGCTCGTATTATCTAGAAAGGGCTATTTTCTATCTAGAACGTCACCAAACACGTTTTGCTTAAAACACTTTGGACCAGTGGGTGAGTTTAGCTACTGTTTTACAAAACCGCCGTTCTAGGCCATTTTTAGTTTGCCGAACGCTTTTGTGTTAACACCATAGATCGTGAACAATTTCATGAAAGCATATGGAGTTGACTAGAAAATCATTTGTCCTCTTAAAATAACCCACTGAAGAAGAGATCTGGAAGTCCAAAGATTTCCTAAACCGCGGTCAAACTTAGATTTCGTTTACATAACTGACCCTTTTTCTCGGCCTGTTCTGATTAAAAAGAAAAGAGGAATAAATGGCAAATTTTTTACTTAAACCATGGACTAACCCCTTTCGAAATACGCAAATTTTGCGAGTTTCTATAATCGATGTTCTTATAGTCTTGAAAGGTTCCTTTTCCATCTGGAATGTCACCAAACACTTTCTCTCGGCCTATTTTAACTAAAATGAAAGATGGACAATTTGCGACTTGTCTTATGAATGAATGTATTTATTTATTTCATTGATTTATTTACAATTTGATCATCAAATCTAGGGGAGGGAGGGGGGGAGGGGAGGTACTCCACAAGGTTTTATATGGGTAGGCTCTGCTCCTCAGGGGTCCAACACCCCCCTTACCTATTAGATACGACAATTTTGACAGAAAAGGTACTCCTTTCTCATACCTAATTTAGAACTTTGATCCCTTAAAATTTTACCCTTTCTTATACCTAAAGCCTGTAACAGGTATCCGTGGCCTTCCCATACCGGCCATTATAAGGAGTAACCCCGGGCATTAAATTAAGCTTTATTTCTTCTCAAAGTCAAATTTTACTTGTGTATTGTATTGTACCAAGTGGCACACACTTTGTATTAAGTTTTGTCTTAACATGCCAGACAATTTTTACTGTAAAACAGATAAACCATTATAAACGGTCCAATTTTTAGGGTATTATCATAATATCCCTTTTGAGCAGTAGGCATGCACAAGTTGTGCTGATGAATAATCAACATTTCTTCCCTTCGTTTCTAAGAAAGTTAAATCTTCATTTTGAATTGGTGAAGCACTCACCTCAGCACTTCATTGCCTGAATGGCCTTATAACAAAATTAAGGAAATTCAGCCTCCACACAAATAAATTAGTAATAAGCTGATTTTGACTAAAAGTCCTTAGCATGCCTCACAGATACAATCTAACCCTGATTTGCTGGGTCTGGTCTGCGAAGCAATACTAAGATCGCTGTTCTGGATCCTAACAGACTCAACAAATTAGTTTGTTTTGAATTTCTCTCCAGCCTGATTGGTCTATTGAACAATAGCTTTTCTAACCGGCTAATCATGCGTACTTAACCCTTGTTACACAGGTGGGGGCCCAAAAGAACAATTTTGCCACTGAGTGGCTTGCAGATGGACTTACCAGAGCCGGGGGAGGCGAGGTCTGGGACCGAGAAACGATGTTCTCACAACTTGCAAAGCGGTCACCCAGCGTGGTGGTCAGCGGATAATTACAGTATTTTTCCCACAGTAAATATTTTAGAAGCAAGAATTGAATCGAACCGGCACAGGAAATCAGAAATGCTTAAATTGAAAAAATTATATCATGCAACTTTGTTTTTCTTGCATATAGTATTTGTCTTTCGGTACTGAAATGCGGGGGAAACTAAAACGCAACCGTGCTAGATCTTAACCAACAACAACGCGCTCGATGGATCTATTTATAGGTTACATCGGTTTTGCCGGGCAAGGATAACTTGATGCTGATATAAAAAAATACTGGAGCAAGTGTCAAATTTCTCGGAAGCAAGTATATTCAAGAAAGCTTTATAAATATGAGCTTATTGCTCCACATATCATAACTGAATAAAAATTAACACTTCATAACATTTCACTTCGTTTATTTCGATCAGTCAACACCTTGAATCCAAAGTTAAAATTCAAAACGATCCTAAAACAAATCAAAACTACTACTGAAAGCTCTGTACCTTGAAGCGACTTTAACTTTCCTTAGGTTTGCAGCAAAACACTGCTCGATAGCTCAACTCTTCGGTGGCCTTTTCTTAGCAGCTATACGGAGCTAGCTATATGTTGCATATTCCAAACTCTGCAAAGGGAAATTGTTTAACAGAACAAGAAAACCACACACTATGTCTGAAAAGCGACATAAAATCAATAAATTTGCGAATTACCAAAATATAATAGTGAGAAACAGTCCCGCCTTTGACTGCCATGTTTTTGTTTTTTCTCAAGACCGTTGATCTATGGTTTTTGACGTAATGCGCATGATCAGTACACAAATCCGCTGGCAAGACCCTTGCTGATCTCTTTGCAAGTTGTGAGAACATCGTTTGGATTTCATTTAAGAGAATGTATGGGAAGTAGCTTGCCCCCCCCCCCTGCACCCAAGGTTTAGTTTCATCTATATGGTGCACTGAGGCCAAGGTAATTGATCAGATGACAAACTAATCAACTAGTGATAACCAGAGCACCATGCACACCATCTAGCATTTGAACATGTTTTAGCAAATATTGTAATTTGTGAATGCGCTGGAACCACATTATCAGTTATTATTCATGAAAAAAGATAGCTTATCAATATGTAGGAGAAACAAAATTTTTAGGGATCACAGTGTAGAAAAACAAAGAAAATTCAGTGCAAAAAAAAAATTCTAAAACTTTTTTTTAGTTTTATGAAAATTTCCTTTCTCTTCACCAATAAGAATAAAAAATTATTTCATTAATTAATATTATTACACTGGCTATCAGGAACAGTGTTCAAATTAACATTTTACTGTACAAACTTTGTGTTTAAATATTCTCTTCTGCAATCCCCCACATCCCACAGAAAAATCATGTAAATTAACAAAATAATTAATGTGACTCTTAATTTCTCTAATAAACATACTGTCCTGGAAATTTCATCATGTAGGACTCCTCACTGGGATTTGAAGACAAGCTCTGTGTTGACATACTCAATGCTCTTGATTGAAGTGGGGTGTTCAGGGCATCCAATACTGACAACATCTTTGAATTGAACTCTTGTGTTCTTGCACATGATTCACCTGCGATTTCCGAAAAACTTGATGCTAAACCAGTCTTTTCTTTCTTGTTTAAGGTCATCATTGACTTTTCTGAAACAATGTCTTTAAGCATTTGAAATGTTATTCTCTCCTTTGGGGTTAGGGAGTGTATCCCAGGTGAACTGGGAGGATTTCCATCAAGATCACTGTTAATATCTGATACCACAGATCTACCTTCCAGCCGGTGATTTAAAACATCCTTCAATGGCTGATGTTTGTAAGGTGCCTTTAGTGATCGGCCGTCAGATCCTACTTTATGAAGAACTTCTCTGACATTGGAAATGTCAAAAAGGAGATGCTTAGGGATGCTATGAGCTGAAAGAACAATATGATTGCCCATTAACCTCAGAGATCTTTCTGGAGTTAAAAAGTCTGCTTCTTTTTCTCTCAGCTGGATTATGTGTGAAACATAATCTTTGAAGGCTTGAATTCCGGTAAGGAGGGCAACTAGGTGGAGATACCCTGCCACAAGGGAATGAAGAGCACAGCGGTTCATGCTTGGTAGAAGTAAGTTATCATCTAGGGCAACACTTTGTAAGCCAAACACAAACTGCACTAGACTTGAAATAATTTCAAAGTCACTGGCTACTTCTGTAGTAATAACCCCCAAGGTCAAGAAGATAGCAAGAAAATTTTCCACCGAGTTTGTAATCATGCAGGCACTTTCATACAAATACCATAACATTTCATCTTTGTTCTTCTTGAAAAAAATGAGGTCCTGTTTGGAGCAGTCTACCACTGTCAATTCAGTCTCTTGACCTCTAGTTAAGACTCCATTCCAACCAAGCTTCTTAGCATTACCATGACGATCAAGCAATGTGTAGAGAATCTCTTGAGCAAGTCTTCTTACTGAAAAATCGTGAACAATAGTGGCTTGAAGCAATGACTCAAGAAATGTTGGAGAGAAGGTGGTAACCAATGAGACGGAGGTGAAACTTAAAGCAACACTCTGCATACACTGCAAAAGCATCTTTTGAAGAACACTGTCTCCTGAGATCTTTGCACGATTGTGATTCTCCTGAGTTAGATGGTGCCCAGAAGCTTGAATTCTGTCAACAAATGGAAACTTTCCCATGATAAACATCATAATATCTGTTTTCTGAAAGTCAGGTAAAACTGCAGCAAATGCTCCCACTGTGCTGACTAGAGACTCCTCAAATTCTTTCTCATCATCATCATCATCAGTAGAATCACCTTGTTTAGCATCATGAAATCTGGCATCTATGGATGAACGCAGATGACGGAGAAGTGTGTTGAAGACTTCTAACACTGCTGGACCAATGGAGCTGTTGCTGGCAATTGAAACACAAGCAGCTAGCACTTGAACAATGCTGGCTTTTACTTTAGCTCTGTCTCTAATGTGATTGTCCAGATGAGAAAGGAGCTTCTCAATAATGATGTAGTTAAACTGATTCTGCACTGAGTACAAAATAATCTTGAATACCTTGAGAGCAAACTCATTGGGTACCCATAGCTCACTCTTGTCAAAATGGGTCAGAGCTGGATTAACAATTGATTTGATGTTTCCAAAACTAGCTCTGTTAATTAATTCCCGCAGGCAGGATTCTGCAAGAGAAGCTGGATCTTCCTCAGTATTGGAGGCCTGTATGTCTTCAGTACTTGACAGTTTAACTTTTCCACTCTCTTCCATGACAAATAGCAAAGAAGGTATGATCTTACTCATGTGAGTATCATCCATAATGTTGGCTTGGAGATCATCTGAGACAGTTTTTCGAACAACACCCTGCAAGCCCTTTAAACCAGCTAGACGAATTCTAGAACAGTCGTTTTTACTTCCAGAGCTGAACCAACACATCGCACTGAATTTTGAAACAAAAAAATCGTAACGCCGATGATATGAGGGAGTGTCTTCTTCGATATTTGCAAACTTTACAAAAGAGGTGCTGCCGAGAACTTGCAAATCAGTCTCTGAACTTTCAAGCAATTTCTGTACCATTTTCAAAAAGCTCTCGACAAACAAATTCAAGTTAGGTGCATGACATGCCAACAAAAGTTGATCAAGGGCTTCCACCGTAATGAACACAAGTCCAAATCTTCTACGCTCTACGTCTCTGTTTAATTTCTTCGCCAAGTATGCCCCGATTCTGTCTAGTTTTTCGGGCGAAGAAAGAGCGTAAAATATTAGCTTGTCCATATTTGCTTTCACTAAACCTTGGCGTGGATCGGCAGGGTAAATGTTATCTACCAAACGTTTGTAACGTGGCTGGAATTTGCCAAAACATGAGCAAATATGAGAACTCGCCATCTTGATGCAAAGAAGGAAACTTTCTTTACTACCATTGCGCAATCTCTTTGCAGGTGGCCGCTGGTAGATTGCGATCGCGGGCGATTAGAAATGGCTTGTTTGTTGTGTTTCAGAGTTGCAGTTTATTTTTGATCAACAAATTGTTTTGGAGTTGATGGAAATTTTTTGAGGTGAATTTTTCAAGGATATGCAGGAAATCTGAGGTACCTTACGCCTCATGGCTCAAGTGCGAAAAGCGTCAGGTCGAGATCGTGCTACTGAAACTACGAGAGAGCTACCTCAAGCTATATCGAGGTACATCAAAAGGGTGTAAAAAAACCAGCTTATGGATAACTCATAAACTGCGTCAATTTAGAAAAAGGAAAAGGGGAAGGGGATGGCGGTTCGGGAGTTGGATAAAGCTTTTCAGTTTGTTTTCAGTTTCTAAATTAGAACAACAACATTTTATCCACTCGCTCAAGCTACTCCTTCTTCATCTCACTCCTGATGATGGGATGATCCCTTCATGTCACTGTAGATTTTGGCCCTACAGTCCGAGAATGAATTTCCTTTTATTATTTTTTCAATTTTGATCGGATCAGATTTAAGTCTGACTACATCCTTATGGGTCAACAAAAAGCTTAGTAAGTGAAATCAGTTTTCCTGATGGGTGTCACACAGTACATCCCCGGGGGGGGCACTTTAGGAATTTCTGGGTGGGGATGTGCCGCTGGGAGCCTGGAACCCTTAACCTTTACCAGAGCTAGTTCAGCTGAATTTTGCTACCCTATACTAGAGTAAACTCCCCAAATCCCCCTATCCTAGAGTAGCTGTGTACCTAGTCTAGATAAAATCTTCAACCAACTGATCAGTTTCGATCCTGAAAAATGATACCCTATACTAGAGTAAACTCCCCATATCCCCCTATCCTAGAGTAGCTGTGTACCTAGTCTAGATAAAATCTTCAACCAACTGATCAGTTTCCTGAAAAATGATACCCCATTCTAGAGCCAAACGCTCTGATTTATATACCCTATCCTAGAGTAAACTGCTTGAAAACCATACCCTTCACAGCGGCACATACCTATATAGCCCATATATGGCAGTACCCCCCCCGGGAGTACATCACACATACAATCAAGAAATGAACAGCACTCAGCCTGCATGAAAGGCACCTTACAAGCCAAGTGAGGCAAACATGTGAAATGCCCCATTTGCCTTGCTTGGTTCATAAAATGGGTCTTAATTAGTGTAAATTTTGGGACTATTAGCTTTTAAGTTGTTCAAGTAATGAGAACTATTGTTCTTTTGTGAAGCTATATAAGCCATGCCACTCTGTGTTTCATTATTTTGATATCCAAATGCCTTGAAGTTGGTCATATAAGACTTGGTAGTGCCTTGCTTTGCAACTTACATCTTAGTGTCTTGATATTGGATGAAACACTGCTTGTCATATATTTTTGATTTATTATTGGTACTTCAATTTATACAAACAGGTCTTCTTCAGCTGGATCCATTAGAAAAAGCATCACAAAGGTAAAACTACAAAAGAAAAATCGTTAAGGTGTTAATCTTTTGTACTGATCAATTTACTGCTAGGGATTTGTTTTTGTTAGAAATGAGACAGTAGGGCCATTTATACAAGGAAAAATAAGACGCGTCTTAAATAAGACGCGAACTGTACCATTTCTACGAGCATGTCTTATCTAATAAGACGTGTCTTAGCTAAGCCGCATCTTATTTTAGACGAAATGTGCCGTTTATACAGAAAGTTGGTGTCTTATTTAAGATGCGTCTTATGTAAGACGCGTCTTATTTTTCCTCGTATAAATGGCCCTAGTGTTCCCTCTTTCTTTTTTCTTTGTTCCCTACTACCTAGCCTATCCCAGACTAGCTGACTATGGCCTTATGAACCAGAAACTGCGGTTCCTCATAACACCCTTAGGTTTTCCTTAGATAATATCCTACTCTAGGCCTATCCTCATATCCTATCCTCTGATTTTTATACCCTCTCCCAGCCCAGACTGCTTACATACCTTACCTTTCAAAGCAGCATATGTATACATTAATATAGCCTATATATGGTAATGATCTGGCCCCCACCCTACAGGTGTGTCCTTACTGGGTCCAATACTAACAACTTTGTTGAGGTGCTGCCTTGTACCTGCAAAGCAGCTGCATGTCCTTGCTGCTTTTGAAAGGTTATTTGAACATAGTGTGACAGAGGTAATAAAAGTTTGTTTTGGCTGAGCGTTGCCTAAACATCAGTGGTGGAAAAATTTTCTTCTTTAAAGTGTGACTAATATTATTGTATTGATTCAATGTGATTATACACCAGGTACCTTCAGAAGGCCTGATTGTTCTTCCACCAGGTTAGCATATTTTGATGGGAAAACCACGATTAGAAATGAACTAAGAGGTCTAAGGTTAGAAGTATAATATCAATTTTCTAAAAACGAGCCCAGCTTGGAGCAACCAACCAGTTTATACTGTCATTATCAGGGACTAGTATTGGAGTGAAAAAGTGCTACCCAGAAACCTACCCTCCTGTAAGATAGAAATTTTGTTGCCAGTATATGGCCTTGCTCTCCAAGAGTTCTCCGTAGCTGAAGAGGATAGAGTGCCTGCCCAGTGTTTGGGAGGTTGTAGGTTAGAATCCTGTTGGGGACTCAGATTTTTTCTTTGTCCCACGCTCGTGACATGCTGATTATTTCATTTTCACATGATATTCTTTTTTCACACTGTAAATGTTATGTCTCTAGGTAAGTAGAGTCTGTCAACAACTGGTAAATGGCATTTTGTTTTATAGATAAAGAATTTGTTAGATTTGAAAATGGCGGTGGTTCCAGTACAAATTGTGTGAGTGCTGTCAGAGTTGGGAGCGCAGGGCGGGTGGAGAGGAACCTTCAGATGGCAAGGAAAAAGGAACTGGAAGATGAAATTTCTACAGACAGTGCTGCAGCATCTGGCATCACTGCTGATGGTAATACATTGATTGATTTGATGAAGCAGTTAATAAAAAAATAAGTTTAAGAAAAACCAACAGAAAAAGTGCTGGTTAATTCTGTGTTCTGACAGGCTAACCAAGTGGGAAAGATGAGCCTATCTTGCCTGCTCAAGATCCTTTCCTGCAAGAAAATAGGTCTTTTGGACATGTAATGGACATATTATATTATTTTATGTTATTATATTATTCACCAATCATTGACCAAGGTTGTTTGGCCAAGATGGCTGGATAGTGCCCTTTTTTGGTAGGGGAAAATTGAATTTGGTCATGTTAAAAGCTTTTCAATTCTTACCAGCCTTGATACTTGCTCAATAATGAACCTTCTGTACAATTACCATTTTCCATCATTTAATCTTTGTTGCTTTTCATTTCACTGATAGGAGAGTTACAAAAAGGAGAAACAAAATGTAAACCATTGAAACAGACCAATAAGCTAGATGCTAAAGTTGATCATAAAGAAGAAGAGGAATCTGAAAGTTCAGACAGTGATTCTTCAGACAGTGATGAACCAGAAACAAGCGCATCAGCAGCAGCAACAGAAGCAAAAGAGGGGGCTGCTCAGGCTCCTGTGGAACTTAAAGGAAAGGTATGAAACATTTGTGAAGGCAGAGTAGCTACCTGACAAAGAAAGATTAGACAGTAAGTACGTACTGTTAATCATAACAAGGAAGTTTGAAATAAGCACTCCCCTCAAAATAGTGCAGCAGTGACAAGTCAAATCATTTAATATAAGTACCAATGTGCTCTTTTGAGCAATTTAGAATGTGTATATATAGCATGTAAAAATTTTTAATTCTCCTTCTCCAAGGGTGACTTGAATGTTCTGTCATGTTCTGTATATAGAGGATATTACATGGCCATGCGGAGATACGAAATTTCTCTTTGAGTGTTAAGAAATATTTTTTCAACACGAGAAGAGAAATTTTGTATCTCCAAGCGGCCATGTGCCATGTAATGTTCTATTTATTATATAAACACCAATGAAATACCAAACCATTTCACTTTAATAGTTTTTTGGTGTGAAAGGCGCGATTTATTATGTAGCCATAGCAACAGTGATATTTTCACATGTGATTTCACATGTGAAGATATCAAGTTTTCGTGCAAAAGCTCACCCGGTATTTAATCGGTGTTTATATAATAAAAATAATTATTGTATACACTCACGGAATGTAACTTCACTTTAGTTCCTAAAGGCAGTCATGGATGAAGACTATGAAAATGCCAAAGAACTTTGTCAGAAGAGTAGGTTACTTACTTTTCACTGAGTTCGACTAATGGTTTTATTCTTAACTATTTTCTTTATTATTACTTTACTCTTGATTGTTCTCTACAAAATGTTTTGTTATTGGCTTATTTACCACAGTTCTGTTGTTGGAGCCAGATAATAAAACATGCAGTGAATTTCATGCTGTTATTGTGGAGAAAATTAAACAAGGTATGATTGCAAATATAGTTGAAATACATAATTCTTATATGTCCACACTGATAACAGTAGTTACTATGGAAACTGTCTTGCAAGAAATAATCACAATGCAATGAAAATCAACATATTGTAACAAGGGGGACATGGGGGTTTAAGGTATTGAGCTTTTTCCAAGTGGTATTTTGTTAGTTTTGATTTTAATGTGCGGTATTGCGGTATCATGTAGCCCTGCGGTATATGGTTTTGCATCCTTTTGTTTAACGGTATTCTCTAAAAGAAGATCCTTTATGGTATTGCAGTACCATTTACGTGCACTCACCTGTCTAATACAGGTCAATACAATGTGCAGCATGAACAACAGTAAGCTAAATAGGTTAATAAAAGTTAATATTTTAAGACTTTAGACTTAATGGTAAATGATTACACAATCTATGACAAAATTGGAAGGGCATCCAAAGACCGGGCTTTTCGATTGTTGCACCGATCAAGGTCTTCTCTTGTTTCCTCACACTGTCTGAGGTTGATTTCTGGTGCATACATGCTTGGGGTAAACAAACACGCGAGATGGATACAGCTTTAAGTAAATGTGACCAATCATAAATGCAGTATTGGTATTTCATTGATTTTTGACATGGTATTTCGATATTTGCCTATTTTTCTTATGGTATTGCGGTATTGGGTACCCCCCAATGTCCCCCTCGGTAATAGATCATGATTTTGGAGGCTTTAATTAGAATGTTTATTTCTTCTTTGTTGTGCCACATAATTCAGAAGACGAGAAGAGTGATGATAGTGAGGAAAGTACAGAAGAGAGTAGTGATGAGACAGAAGAGGATGAAAACCAAGAGAGCAGCGAAGATGATCAGGATGATGATGATAATGAGGAAGAAGATGATGAAGACAATGAAAGCAGCTCCGATGATGACTTTGCTTTACCACCAGGCCCTATCAACTTAATCATGGGAGGACTTCCCATTAGACCACAGAAAAGATGACAAGAAACCCTCTTCTTTGTATCTTCTTTGGATCATAATGTAATTTCCACCAAGTTTTATTAATACTCAAGATTTCATGAAGTTTATCTGATGTGACGTCTTTATCAGAACAGGCAGGAGGTCCCATGACAAAACTTTTATTGTTGTCACCTACCTCTATTAAATGGTCATTGTCTAGTTCCAGAAAATATCCATACCCCCCCCCCCCCAAATGGGAGGCAACAGAAATTGTAAGGGGTGGGAGTCCAGAAGGAGGAAATTCCTAGGGGGTGGGGGTGACTTCTCGAGGTCTTTTCTCTGGGGGCTCCAAGTAAGATTGGAAATTATCAAAAACAGAGGCTCTGTTGACCAAGCTATCAGTTAGTTTACTGTTTACAGTCTCTTAAAAAATATAGTTTTTATCGATGATCTTTTATTTACGGTTGGCTGAATGATTTTTTTACATCTTACAAGTGGTTACGATCGGCTCATGAATAAACTTCTGGTTATATACCTGTTTCTGTATTGTACAATATATTGTGGTATTCATGGCAATGTGGTTGTCTTCTAAGCCTTCTTATAAGACGTTTTTGAGTGCCTACCCAAGTTGAAAAATAATGGAAATTCCAGGGGGTGGGGGTCTAAAGCAAAAATGCCCTCCATGCATGGGGGGTATGGATATTTTCTTGAACCACACATTCCCCAAGAGTCACAGTTAACAATCAAGAAAATACCTGTAGCATTTTGAACGTGCAGCAATACCTTTATTGTCAGAAAGGTTACTACAGAAACACAAACACAAATGCTTAATTTATATCTTAATAATTTACTTAAGACAGAGTAAACAACAGGTGTCGAGCTTTTCTTAGCTTTTCTAAAAAGCTACTGATCTTTATGTGAGACATAGCTACTATGTAGCTTCATCATTTTCATCAGTGAAATAGAGGCAGTTTGAAGTCCACTGAAAAGACCTAACTAAAAGATGCTTTAATAAGGTAGACTAATATGTAAATGTCAAGCAGGCTTGAATCTGTGCTGTGATGTCTAAATCAGTGATGAAAGAGTCGCATGTTAGTGAGCACCATAGTCATGTTATGTTCATCAGCTGCCTTGATGCACACCTCATCAGCCACAGATCCTGCGGGGCTGGCAATGAACTCCACACCACTCTAACAACACAAACACCTCAGTTTAGGCTTCATTGGTAAAAATAAACCTCAGGTTTAGGCAAGTGTCTTTAGAAACATTATAATAAAGATAGTGTTTGGGAGTTGTATTTGTATTCTTTTTCTTTATATTTTTGTAATGACCAACTATTGTGAGGGTTTTTGTAAAAACCATTAGAGCGGTTTTCACTTGACTGTCGAAAGGGATTGGTTTTGGTTTTGGTTTTGGTTTTACTATGCCCTTTAGTTAGCTAGTGTATTTACTTTGGTTTTGGTTTTACGACAGTCAAGTGAAAACCGCTCTATCACTCCAATAATAATGCCAATGACATAGAAAGAAGTTGAAATTTCTAGAGACAAAGTGGAGGTAAACATTGAGGAGGAATCAATTTTGCCTAGTTTTACCTTTCTTTCAGTGGTACCTATGAAGTCAAAATTGTTCTTACTCTAACAAATTTGTTAAGAAATGATAAGCCTTCCACAAAAGTGTTGGTGATAGCAGAAGTATTTTGGCTAAATACAAGATTCTTGGCTTGTACAGATAAGCCATTGTAACTTGAAAAAGTTAGTCAGCGAACTAAAGTACTTGCTGAAAATCACTTGTGGAATCACATGTTGACTATTATGATAATTATATTATATTATGATATTGGAATGGTCAATGATGACCATTTGCTGGGTCTCTTGAGTGTTTGTGCTGATACCAATGTAAAAAAAAGTTGAGATATTTTAATAAATTATTAATACAAACCAGATGGGCTCTGTCAATGTTGTCTCTAAATGGAAAGAAGGCATCTGAACTTAGAGAAACACCCTTAAGGGTTGCAATCCACTCTTTTCTGTCAGCCTAGTCAGACAAAAGATCATAGATATTCATGAATTGTGGTGACTGGATATACACTGTGTTTGGAAAAAAAATAGAAATATTATTGGCTGATGTGTGGCCTTTCAACCCTTGAAGGTTCTCACCATCTACCAGTGATTCAACCGTGGGCAGTTCCTTTCAATCAGTTGAGTTAAGGTTCCCCTTGGCTAGCTGACCATCCAAGGGATGATCACTGTCTAACCTGCTATAGTCTCATGCACAACCCTCAAAATTGCAAGTATCATCAATCTTCCCTTGCTTCTTTACAAAGTCTTGCTATGATATCCCGCTAGGACATGACTTTAAAAAAATGGCTTAGGAGAAAATACATGTAGCTTATACTAAAACTATTGGAGTGTGCATTTTTCCCAGTTTGATTTAAAATCTATAGCATTTTCTTTCTCCTCTGATGTTAGATTCACAGACCTATTTCACATTTCACTCTAACTCTCACACTTTCCTCCAAAACACCTGGGCCGGGTTGTTCAAAGCAGGGTTAAGATAACCCGGGGTTAGTGTGAAATTTGAATTCAGATATGAAAGCTTAAAAAGCAAACTCAGTTTTGTTCTTTTTGCCTACAATTTGATGATTGGATGCTCGACAAAGAATAGAGAAAATTATCTGCAAAAAAGCTTTTGAACAAACAAAAAAGAAACCCATGTTAAAATTTAACCTTGGTTAGTGCTAATCGGCCTTTGAACAACTGGGGCCAAATTGCCGGTTAACTTTACTCCGGTGATCACACACCTGAAGTCTCAAGTTCAATTTACCTCCAGTGATCACACACCTGAAGTCTAAAGTTGGTGTCTTTACTCACAGGCACAAATGTACGTCAGACAAAAAAAAATCATTATTGGTTTGTAACAGTGTTGAATCTATTAAGAAATAAATTGTTCCCTTCTTCATGTATGGGGTGCACGAGTTGAGACGACTGATGCAGTTCTAAATCTCAAAAGAAGGCGACAAGTTGGGATGCAGGACTAGTACAACACCAGGGCTCGAAATTGCGACTCACTGGTCGCCAATGCGACCAAAAATTGAGCACTGGCGACTAAATTTTCAGAACTGGTCGCCAGCTGGCGACTCGCGTTTTGTCCGATGACTAAAGAAAACCACGACACAACTTTTGTTTTTAAATCTTTATATTTGGAAATCAATCGGATATGGTAGCTAGTATACAACTCACCTTTCCGTCCCCAGTAAAATAATGTCTGAATATTACAAGATAATCGAAAAAATGGAATGTATTTCGACACGTCGATACTGCGTTCAGGGCGCGCCATATTGTTTCAGCGGCTTCTTCCGAAACTGGGGTCGCAGGCGCACTTCAACAACAAAAATGGTGGCAGATACGGTGCCTTCGTAACTCCCGCAACATTTTAGGTTTTATTTTCCTAAAACGTTCTGTCTAAAGGGAAACGAAGACCCAAAAACTGCACTAAGCCCATTTTTGTTTCCTCCCGGTCGGAGACTGGTACGAGCAATGTGGTTGTGTAGAGGCCTGGGCCAAGCATGGCGTTGTTTGTCGGCAGCGAAAGGCGTTGAGGAAAGCAAGTCGAAAATATAGAACGGCATTTCGTAGAAGTAGCAAAGGGCAAATACACAAGGACCCGTGTTTGTCTCAGAATGAAAACCACGGACTTAAAACGTTTTATGCTTCGCTTCATTTAAAATGACTTTGGAGACAACCATCACCTTCGGACCAGAGACATATCACCTGAGAACAACGGTAGCTTTATAACTAAGTGTTACTCGTGTTGTTTCTAATTGTTTTCGCTCTTCAGTTGTGACTTCTCTTGCATGCAAAGTAACGTATAAAATCGTGTTCTTGTGTAAGTTATATATAAAATAAGTTGGCGACCAAAATTTACGATCTGGCGACCAAAATTTTTCCATTAGTCGCCAGCTGGCTCCCGAACGAAAAAGTTAATTTCGAGCCCTGAACACCACAGTAGTTTTTTAGCATGAGAGATTTCGTAATACCATGTGGTTAGTACCTATGATATAGTAGTTTTACGATAGACAGGAATACCACGACTGTACATGAAGGTTACAGATAGATACAATTCTAGTTTAGTCACATTTTCACTTGGCATCGCAGTAGCAACATTCACTTTTATTGCACTAGCAATTATTTCCCTCCCTTCCTCCCTGTAGGGTTTTGTTTTGTTCTTTTCATGGACAATGTGATCACTTTTATTATTTGATTGAGGTTGTTTTGATTTTTTTAGTTTGGTCTTCTTTATTTTGTTGGAGTACTTTATTTGTATACTAGAGATTACCTTTTAGTTATTTTCCATGTATTGTACTTTGTTATGATTAATAAAGGCTGTCGTGTATCCCAAACAATGCCTGGGTTTCTGAGTTTTGTTGATTTAGACCATGTTTTCTAACCATTGGAACTTGAGAAATCAAAATCAATCAGTGCCTATATATATATGGCAAACTGTACGATGACATACCTCAGTTAGAAGTTCTGGTGGGTTTTCAAACATTTCTGTCCAAGCTTCTTTATCTGTATCCTGAAGTGAGTGCAAAGAATACATGCTTGGCAACTTGATTAATAATTATAGGTGAATATTCCAGTCACAAAAAGTGGACCCCTTGGTAAACCTTAAACTCTACCGCAGCAATAATTTATTGGACCTAGATCAGGACATTTTAAAGTGGTAAAGCAAGTATTTGACACTTATGGACTAATTCAGTAGGAAGAGATATCAATAGTTGGTATCTGCACATTACGTGAAATGTTTGTTTGTAATATCACCTGCCCAACTGTTCCATTAACATACACATCAATGGCATTTGACATTTCTGCTCTCTTTACTCCCTGAAAAAAATAATGCCTCAATTAAATAAGCCAAGGTGATGATTGATGTATGAAACTGAACTTGACTGGGTATATTCCTTTGGAAGACCCCAATCGGAATTAATGGTCAAAAATCGGGATAGTGGTGCGTCAAAAGTATCGTCTGGAATATAATGGCTCCTTTGATACAGATCGATCCAAGTAATCTTGGATCATAAATCTTGATCTGGATCATCCCAAAGGAATGCAACCTATGACATTGAAATTTTTTATTCTACAGATCTAGATGTGCTTTGTCTCAAGGTATAAAGTGAATTTTCTTTATCTTCAATCAACTAACAGTAACCTTTTCTTGTAAGAGAACTGCATTTAAGCTGACAGGAAAAGAGCTTTTCAATAGAAAAAATATTATCAAAACCCAATCAAACATTCTAGTAAATATTCACCTTCTTGAAAACCATACCCATGACTCTGGGGTGTTGACGAAGCCACCTGTTAATCACACAAAAAAGAGATGTGAGATATAATTAAAGATGGGCTGATATTTAAAGGCAGGGGCCAACTCTTAAGGTACTTTATGCATAGATCACAGTTGTTGGGGAAAAAGTACATAAATGATGAACGCTACCATTGTAAGAAAATTCAGTACCTCATGAAGCATTCAACCCTTGGCATCACAGGGACTAGTCTATTGCTCCACCCTCTTAGCTTTTGGTCAAGATAAAGATCCTTTACCCTATCCTGCCTCTGAAATTGTAGTTCTTGCTACACCAGGCAGGAATGATAATCAAATTAATCTCTCCAGATAATTTTCAGTATCATGAAAGCCATTCCAACAAGGAATTTTACCATTGCTCTCAAGGGATCGTGTCCCCTCCTCAATTTGAATAGTAAAGTATGTATTTGAACATCCCTTATTAACTTTTTTGGCATTGGTGTAAGAGAGGAGGTTAATGGCTGAATGTTTTTACTTGGGGTCCGGCAGACTGGCATTCCAACGACTAAGACAATTGGGTGATTTCAGAGACAAAACATGCACAGTACAGTACCACATTTCACAGGTGGATAAATAATAATGTTATTATTGTTACCAGTTGTTTGCCTTGTCACCTGCTAGCCTGGTACAGTGGATACGAGACTGTTGTCCTGCTCCAATGCCTATTACCTAATATAGACAATAAATCACAAGTTGCAGGATGTAAACAATTTAAAATGTAGCCTAAGGAATAACATTCAAAATTTTGCTACAGATAACATTTTCTATCATTTGGCTTGAAATTAGAGTATTGTATTTTAAACCAAAACAAAGATTCTGTCGCTAAGGAAATCATATATAGTTTAAAGAAAATTGAATTACCAGAGTTCCGGTTTAAGCTTATACAACTGACATGGCTAAGATGGTATGCCCTTAATTGAGTAAGTAACTAATTCGACAAACAATGGAGATGTCCCTGATGAAGTGATCATTAATGGATTACCTGCCCATCCTTGGCATAACATACTGAATTAGACTGGGTGTACTTCAAGGCAATACTGGCCACAGTTAAATCACGCAAGGCACTCTTTGGTAACTGAAAAGAAAATGTAAAATGTAATGTGAAATGCATTCAGTATATATCATCACTGGAACAATCCTAATCATTGACATAGGCCCAGACATAGGCATGACAATTGAATGTCTGAAAGATGACAAATAGCTTAAAACTAAAGGGCATGAAGCTAATGTATCATTCAATTTGATCTGTTACCATCCCCCTCCCCCAGGCAACCCTCATTCAAGACAAGTCCGGCCCTTCTGGCCTGGGAGTGGGGAATCGTTTGAAGCAGACCTTTCCCGTGGGTAGGGGGTGGGGCAAATCAAAAATACTATCTTCTCTTTGATTTTGCGAAGTACGTGTCATTTCTCACGTGGTTTGCACGATGGCTGCGGACCTAAAGACCACATATTTAGAGGCAAAAATGTTTTAAAATTTGAAACGAATGTGCCTATGATGCATACTCAAATGGATTTTATTTTTTTGCAAAAGAAGGATTGAAATATTTCTTCAGTCTAACTTTAATATACAAAGACAACTTATATGAAAGCAGATACAAGGCTTTTGGTGCATACAGATAAACAAAGATTCAGTGTTCTTATGAAGTGTTCTACGAAGGAGGCACTTTTTTAAAGAGTTTTTCTTCTTCGTTTTCATTTTCAAATGTATTGTTCATGTTTTAACTAGATAATTACATCCATCATCCTTCTCTCAATAAACTCTGGAAAATGTTGTGAAAAAAGTTGTGAAAACGTCTCATTTTGCTTTTGTACGGATCAAAATGAGGTACCCATAAAAAAGGTTTTTGAGGTAAATGAGGAGCTCAGGGATGAGGAACAGACCTCCAAGGGTATGCCCGTAGGGGGGGGGTTGTGGGGGAGGGGCATGGTTACAAGTCAAACTGAACCATGCATAAATAATGACAATTTCCAGACAAGAAAATTTAGGTATTAACAACTGTGATGGTAATTGATACTCACTTGCCTTACATATTATCACCCCACTACTGACATTAGGGACCTTATGAAACTACGACGGCAACGGCAACAGCAACATCAAAAAGCAATAGGACATGGTTTAGTCAGCAAAACGACAACTCTGCAAGAGCATCATGCTTTTTTGTACATTTATTTGCCGTCCCTGCACGACTACAATGTGAAATGACCAAATTTTAAGTTTTTTTTTTCAAGACTGGAAAAGCAAGGCGATAAATTCTACCATCTCTGTCTGAACTTGGGTGCACCCCCCTCTCTTCAGCTCCAACATAAATTCTCTTCTTTTAAGTAACTTGGCGACATGGGATAATGGCAAAATGATTTGAAAGGATGCGGAGTCCATTTTTCAGCAACGTTTTTCATGGACGTCACTGTTGTCGGATCATAAGATCCCTATTTGTTGCATTCTAAACTGTCAGTGTGGGAGCCCTCTCCCAATACCAACTAAACTTTCACCAGACTCTAGTTGTTCAAAAGGTGGATAGTGCTATCCACTGGATAAATCACTATCTAGTGAATAACGCAATTGGTTTTGGTACTACTTATCTGCTGGATAGTGATTTATCCGGTGGATAGCACTATCAACCTTTTGAACAACCAGGACCTGGTATCACTTTAAGTGGTGAAAGATCCAAAAAGAAACAAACAAAGGGAAATTGGCTGGGAAGGGAGTTAAGCTGTTTCTCTTCTCATTGCCACTTATTACTATTTCCATTCAAAGAAAAAACTCTTTTTATAGCAACAAAATATTAGTTCCTTGTCATACACAAAACATAGAATGAAAAAAACAATAGCATAAATTAATATGAGGAAGCCCTAAGGGTCATACATTGTTGGTTTCCAAGTTGCTTTGAGGATGCTACCAATCACTAGGGAACATGTCATAATGAATAGAACACAACAAAATTTCATTATTATGAATGACTGTTGCCTGAAACCAGGTATGGGAATCAACAAGTCACATACTTCTTTTCTCTTTGACTGTATGTTGGTAAAGAAACTTTTATCAATCCTGGCATTGTTTCTTAGTTGTTCAAGTTTAAGCCCAAAGATGGTTCGAGTCTCGGATTCAGAAGGTTCATAGTCAGGATCCATCTGCATAAAAAAAACAAAGGTTAAAAAGGGAAATCTTCTTACTTGTGACTCTTATAATTTAAAATGTGATAAAAGTTTGTCCATCAAATTTTTTCATTTTTTTTTTAAGTTTTGATAGATATGATCAAAAAATGACTGCTCTATGATTTATCACAACAGGTTCATTATTTTGCTATGGTGCATAATTTAAAGGCAACTGGTATGCTTCATGAATATGGCCTTTGTTACCAGTTGAGGATAGCAAACCATAATATTTTTATGTGTAAGAATCACAGTGGTGGATCCAGGGGAGGGCCCCCCCTTATTTTTTAGACCAAACCAAGTTACAATATGTTTTGCTTAGTTTATGTTGCTGAGGAGTGGGAAACTTTTGGAGAGGTGGTTGCACAGGGAGATTGGATTGTAATAACAATAGTAATAAGTTCTTAATTTGGTTAAATGTAATTTAACTACATTGACCACCATCAGCTTAGCAGTCAAGCAGCCCATGAGTTTAGCGGTCAAGAGGTTCATCCGCTTAGCAGTGAAGCGGTTCACAAGCATACTGGTCAAGTGGTTCACAAGCTTAGCAGTTAAGTGGTCCACAACCTCAGCGGTCAAGCAGTCCACAACCTTAGAAGTCAAGTCGCCCATGAGCTTAGCGGCATCCAGCTCACATGATAGAACTAACTGTGGTAACTTTGTACACTGCTAGGATCTTTGAGTTCTTCATCTTGTGGAAAGGTTGCTTTAGTGTCTTTTGTGGTGGGTCCTGGCTATGCTCAGTCGCGTATAAGCTTCTTTTTAAAATTACAGCAGGCCTTTTTGTAGACCTGGCCGACCTACTACCAGACAATATTCAAGCTCAAGAAATCAAAGCCCACGTGTTTTTGGAGGGAAAACTGGTGGTATCAGGGTCTAAGAAACGGGTTGTTGAAATAGCAGACATGGTCACCTGGATAGAAGCCTTCACAATCTTTTGTATGATTCTTTGCCACACCTTTCCCTCTCGCTGGAAAGGTTTAAACCAGTAAAAGTTACTCATTATTCAGACAGCAGGGCGCTTCTCTGACAAATCATGGCTCCACTACGACATCGCCTTCAGAAAAGAAGCAGCAGCCTCAGATTCAACCAACTGGTCTTGCATGCACCCAGACCTCTACAATTTTCACACTAGATCTCCGGCTACTACATCAGTTGCTTCAGGCTCCTCAACTTTCTCTGCCTTGTCACTAACAGAGTCTCCAGCATCTTCAGGCAATTGTCAGTCTAGCCAGTATTGGGCTGGGCTTTTGTAGTACCTTCTCAGAAGCAGGGTCTGCCAAGTTCTGGTTATTTGACTTTTCTTGAGGCTTCCCCCAGCCTTGAGCCCCTCTTCAGAGGCTGATCTAGGGGAAGGGTTGAGGGGGTTGCAACCCCCCTTTGGGTAGTTTTGAAACTTGTCTGGCTACCTATGTCTATCCCTTTTAATACCAAAAATACTATTTTAAGAGTGATAATATAAGTTCCAGTCCAATCGATCATTACAAGAAGACAGCTGTAGCTATTCCTCCTCCTGACTCCTTAATAATCCAAATGCAATCGATTTTTGACAAAGATCGTCATGCCCGCCATCTGCTTTTTCTAGTGCCATCGATTATAGTAAATAAGGCACTGCAGCTGGATGATGAAGTTGAAGGCATGCTGTTCTGGGAGAAAGACATTCTACTTCCCAAATCCCTTGGAAATGAGGTAAGTAGATGGAAAACACTCTGGCAATCAACAGATAGGGAGCTTCCAAACGACCTTTTACTAGCATGGGGTGCTTGGGATGAAGATACTTTCCCAAACATCCATCATCTTCTGCTCATTGCCTGCACCCTACTGATTACAAGCACAGAAGCTGAGTGATCATTTTCAAAGCTGATGAAATGAATCAAGACCTGCTCAACAATGTCTGAAGAGTGATTCTCTAACCTCGCAGTGATTGTCATGTACTACTCCAAGAGATTCGCGCAAATCGAGGTAGAGGTGGACAAGATATGCTAGGAAGCCTTAGTAAGGGCTCATCCAAGAAGGCCCTTTCAAGCTAGTCTGTCTGATTGAATAGGCAGGTAAAGAAAGAGACAAACAACTATCATTGTTGCACTGTACTCTTAGTCCTTAATATAGTATCTCACAACAACCCCCTCTTTGAAAAAATCCTGGATCTGCCCCTCCTCTTTCCCTCTCCGATCTGGCATGCATCAGCTCGGAGAGTCCCTTCAGCTTGGAATGGGGGCTCATAACTGGGTTGCGGGGATTTGCCAGCCATGGGGCACTATTCTAGCTAGGGGCTGGCTGACCACAGTGGAAGCCCCTGGGTATCCCAGGCACCCACCTTCCACTTAAGCGAGGCAGTTGGTTAAATATAATTATAATAAGTTATTATTGTTATTGTTATATCAATCATTATCATTAGGTAATTTGACCTACCTCAAGAACACAGTATTTGCCTCCTTTCTTCTTTTTCAGCACTTCTAATGCATCTGGTTCATAGCCAGGAGCAATTATACCATCTGAAACCTTAATGGGTGAAGAAGCCACAAAGCACAAAACCATCACCAAAAACGTACACAAAAACAAAGTTAACAACAACAATGCATGGCATAAAAATGTACCATAATATTGTTACTTCAAGGCTGTGCTGTAAGGAAAATTGAAGGGACCCCAGTGCTCTGAAACTGTAAAATCTAGGGTGCCCAGCATATGATTTGTATGAAAAATCTGAGATTTTCTAGTCACCCTAGGGCAGAAGTTAGGCACTGAAGCACTGAAGCGAAAAGCAGAACAAAGTTTTACCTCTCTTGAAATGATTTTTGCTGTTGGAAGATCACAGACATCTGATAGTGCAACCCAGTCACCAAATGATGACATCCTGTCAGCTCCTCTTGCCCTAGCATAAGCCGTGGCCAGTGGTGTCAAGCTGTCAATCATATCATCAACCATGCACAGTTTGGCCTGTTCTTTTGTCAGTGGTTCACCTACAGCTGCTCCAGCTGGACTGACGTGTTTGAAAGATGCAGCTGCTGGCAAATCTAAAGACTGCCGCAACTCCTAAAACAGGCAAAGAGATAAAAAGATTGTTATAGCTACTAAAATGGATGGAAAACAAAAATAATAATTTTGGTCACAAACAAACACAGTGAAGTGCTTTCTAAAGTTAGAGTGATTGGTAAATAATTGCTAGACCTAGACCACTTGAGATTCTTTGATTTTGATTTTGAGAGCAGTTTTTAAAACAATTATTTTGCATTGGTTCATCATCAAAGAATGAAAAAAAAATGACAAGTCACATCCAACCTTTTTTTTTTTAAATAACTTGAGATCTAAATGTAAGAACAAAGCCTAAGTAACTGAAAAATAACTCAAACAATTTGACTGCTAGTTTTCGATAATTTGAGATCATTGATCTAAAAATGGATTTGTCAATTTCAGCCAAAATCTGAATGGAAAATTTTTCTTACAAGCGCTAGTGCAAGAGAAGCAAAGTCCAGATGTTAATGGGTTTAACAGCAGTACCCTAACGGTATAGACTTGTAACTAGATTTGAAAACTGACCCTAACAAGCTGCCATGAGTTAAAAGCATCACAGAGATTGATGAAGCCAGGAGATCCATTCAGAATGTTGACTGGCAGTTTAGGCTCTGATGTAAACAACTGTGCTGGCTTTTGATGGGGATTCATGCCATAGCGAAGGGGAATGTGAGACACTCCTTCACTGTATTTCTTTCTGAAGTAATCAGAAATGGCCTCATCGTAAGCTGCAGTATGACTAAAGGCCTGAAACATATTAAAATAATACAGGTTAGATAAGTTTTGTCCTGGTTGGGCAGCCTGTACCTACAATGTATTCACTGTGAGAGACTCTTGACTGGAACATATCATTAACACATGGATGGGAAGCATATATAAGGCTACAGTGTCTATGTTCCTGTACATCTGTGCAGTTGAAGACTGAAATGTTATTAGCACATGGCTGGGCGGTGGCCTGTACAAGGCTACAATGTACTTGCTCTGAGAGACTTACGACTGGGACATATTATTAACACATGGTTGGGCAGCCTGTACCTACAGTGTATTCACTGAGTCTGTGAGAGACTCATGACTGGAACATATCATTAACACATGGATGGGAAGCCTGTATAAGGCTACAGTGTCTATGTTCTTGGGAGTCCCAATGCTTTTAACCAAAGCAATCCAGGGTGCTATCATTTAAGAACAGTAAAACAATGCAAGTAGCTAGGTTTCTAGAACAGGCCACCATGTCACACTGTTATGAAAAGAACCCTGCAGTAAAGTACAAAAAGTTGTTAAACTTAGATTTACACCCACCCTGGGTTGATTTACACCCACCCTGGGTTGTCAAAAGTAGCCAGTTGCCGGTGAAAATTGCCGCCTACTTGACTAGTATTGGACGGCTACTCTGCTTGGCATTTCTTTACAGATGGTGTGATTAAAATAGAATGTCCCTGAACTGGCCACTTATTTTGACAACTCAGCCATCTACTTCAAAACTTTCTGACAACCATGCCAACCTTTAATGCAAGCATTTTTCTTGTATGAATTGAGGTGTCCTTGTCATCAGTAGAGGTCATTTCATCAGCTACCCTATAAGCAACAGAGGATTTAATAGAAAATTAATATCTAAAAAGATTATTCACGTAGTTAGAGTACACACAGAAATGTTAACTTTTATATGCTGCAGTAACAGCTGTATAGCAGCAGCTATAATGTAACACTAACCTCTCGTAATCTTTAGGATCACATATGACAGTCACCCGTGCATGATTCTTAGCAGCAGCTCTTAAAAGGGTAACACCACCTATAAGTTATTGAAAAACAGTTCTTTATTTCATATACCTTAGCAGCAGCTCTTAAAAGGGTAACCCCGCCTATAAGTTATTGAAAAACAGTTTTTTATTTCATATACCTTAGGCCAATGATGTGCTATCTCCTTTTATCTATCAGTGCTACTTTTGAACATTTGCACAGTGAATCAACACCAGAAGATGCATGCACTGCAGGTTATAAGCTCTCTTATAGCATCAGTATGTAAACAGGAAAAAAAAGCTGAAATATGGCAGCATTTTTACCAATGTCAATTTCTTCCACGGCATCTTCCATTGTGCATCCTTCCTTTGAAATAGTTTTTACAAAAGGATACAAGTTACACACCACAATTCTGCAAAACATAATTCAGAACGTCCCCTGAGATCAAGCCTTAATAAGATGTTGATAGCAAATCATTTACAGTGTATAATGTTATTTTAATAAGTGTACTTTAGTCTAGATCTGTAATATATGTTACCTGATATATTCATATCCTTGTTGTATCATATCAGATTTATCAGCTTCAGTTAGTCTGGCAAGAATTCCTGAAATAAAAACCAGTTTGCATTTAAACTATCCATGTAAATATGTCATACCGAATCCACACTGACATACCACATATAAGTACAATCTAGACAACACAACAAATTTTTACATGATTCAAATATTAGCTAAACTAATTTTGCTCGCTTATTTCTATTCTTAACATTCAACGTTTATCCAGGATGGCAAGCTCAGCCCTGTAAGCTCAATTGGACAACTACTGGTCTGCCATGCGGGAGGCCACTGGTTCAAACCCCGGACAGAATAACACTCAGGGTCTGAGGAGAAAGTGCTGCCTTTGTAAAGACATCTGCAAACGCCTTGACTTTCTAGTTCACTCAGATACAGACAATAAACTGTAGGCCGCAACTCACAACCTTTGCACAACTTAAAAATACTGTGGAATGTTAAAGAACCAACTGTTTGTAAAGAGTAAGGGACGTAGTCCTTGGTGTGGTGGCCTCTCTCATGGGGGAAGGACAGTGTTACAAGCTCGCATTATTTGGCACTATGCTCTTGTGGTAACCCTGTAAAGAACTGGCAAACCTAAATAAATAAATAAATAAAAGCAGAGAGGGTACCTCCATGAACAGCGGGGTGTAGAGTCTTCACTCTTCCTCCCAACATCTCAGGGGCACCAGTTACACTGGAAACATCTCTGAAAGACAAGTGGACAGTTTTGCAATACTAGACATGTGCATGGACATACCCCCGTAACGAACATGATCCTAGATGAAAAGTGGGATTAGTATAAGAGGTGAAAATAATCATTCAACCTTAGAAAAGATAAAAAAGATCTTTAATTATTGGTGACATGTCATGAAGTTATTAGTAAAACATGATTAGCAATGAAAAGTTTATTACCCAACGAGAATGTCAGCAGATCGGAGTTTCTTAGCTGTTCCTCCAGATGCAATCAATTTGAATCCCAGCTCGTGAAGTTTTTTGCCAAATTCCACAAGTCCCTCTTTATTGGAGACACTAAGAATTGCTGTGTAAGGAAATATTACAGATGTTAATAAAGTAAAAAGAAGGTCTGTAATCGGGTTTTTTAATCTAGTCATCCCTACCCAAATTTTTGCTCAGTCTAGTAAACCTGATGGTTGTTTTCGACATCCCACATCCCATGCATACTTTCACTCCCGAATCTTGTCCCCACTTTGCTTTAAAAATGCCGAATCCTGGCCTTTAGAAAAGAAATATACCACAACCCAAAACACCTATTCGGGACCCTATAACAAGGAGGTTTGAACATATCTCAAGCACCTTGTGGTATAACAACAATAGGTTTTTAATATGTCCATTTAATGGAGGTGAGATCATTATTACATTTACAAAAATGGACTTATGGTCATTGGATTCTGAATTTTGAGTGGCTAACCAGAATTACCCCTTTAATGACTTCTCTCATAATAGTAGACTTTCTGCTGTGCTTGAGGATCTGAACTGGCAATCATTAGAGCGGTATACGTGCCATCTGACAACCTTTTCAGAGTATGTATCATCCATAATTATTGTTATTCTAATTTCATTTTGTTCTTAACAGTTTTTGTGTATTAAATTCCTTTGAAACAGTTCAGTGTAAAATCAAATTGTACTAATTTCACTGTTTAGCTAGCCGTTGATCAATAATGCCAGTTAAAGTTAAAGTAAAGTTAACTAAGTTATCCACTTAGTTTTCACTCAGTTGTCAGTTGATTTCTTGAATTAAAACCATTTAAGCTTAATACTACTACAGGATGATACTACTAGCAATGTTAAGTAATTCGAACAGATTCTTTGATTGTGACCATCGACATGGCTCTCCTTCCCTCGAGACACCTGCCTCAAACAATACTACCTCTTGTTACAATTCAGGTAACAATTACTTCTAAGATGCGCCACTTGATTTGGTTCAAACTGGCAAGAGAAAAACCTTCACTAACCTAACTTTCCTGCATCAGATGTAGCCATCTTGAAAAGATAACTCACGTGGACGTCATCGATTCTTATTGGTTGCAAACTTCCCGCCAAGTAGAGTTGTAAGGGGAGCTGTAATTTATTCATTTCCATATTTGGTGGCTCGACCGTTTTGGTAAGGAACATGGCCGCCGTGTTTACACTACCTGACGGGCTTGCAATTTGCAAACAACGAACAGTATTATTACTTTAAACTCACTGTCGATTGACCCAGTCATGATGGCTAAGGTAAGTATTTGTAATTAAATTACGCTTATTCTTTCAACACTGGAGTGTTGGGGGTTTGCGTAAGTTTTTAACTTTGGCATGTTTATGTGATGCAACAGCTGGAAGCAAGCTGTTCTTACACTAAAGATCAATTGACATTCGATTTAATTCATTAATCGTTTTTTGGATTAGAAAGATTAACACAATATGCATACCTTTACTCAGTCGAAACAGCTTGACTGAAGTTTCACTGAGGTGGATGTAGATTATTACACGTACACGTACATACTCACTGTTTACAAACAATGTCTTTGTAATTCAATTGTAAAGCCAGTGAAACAGAAGAATGTTTTTTAACAACCAATGCGCTTCTGGTTAGCACATTGATATTAGTGAATGACATCAGCGTGAGTATCACTATATTACTGGTATTACCCAATTTCATACTGTGAGGGTACTGGGAACAAGTGTTTATATAACGGGTCATCAACACATGCAGGACCTAGATACAGTTGAACCTCCATTAAACAGCAGCCACTGTTGGGATCCCGGCCACCTAATGATAGTTGGCCGTTCAATAGAGTTGCGTCATAAAGTAGCATAGTCGTAGCTGAAAAATCACTTTATTTGAAGCAAACGCACAATCAGTTGTCACCTACTATTTCGGACTGTATTTTCATACATCATATTCTTAAAATGAAGCCAAACTAAGAGTATCAGGCGCTTGATGGCCACTTAATAGAGGTGGCCGCTTAACAGAGGTGATATACAACGGGAGAACTGTTGTTGGAATGGCCAAAAGGTGGCCACAGCCACATTAATAAAGAGGTACATTTCCCATCCTTTTCTACAGTTATTTCAGGACTTTGATTACTGGCTGCTTAATAGAGGTGGCCACTTAATGGAGGTTCAACTGTGGTCAGCAATTGACTTGCCACAAGTTCGAACTCACAAGATTCATGTAACAGAAAGCAAGTGGAACAGGCTTCTTAGGCTGTGAAGCAACAGAACAAGCATCAAAGTTCCAAGAGTTCTTAGTCCCCTAGGCCATATTAAATAACACGAAGGACTTTTCCAAAAGTCTGTGTCAAAAACAGCATACCAAGCTTTGCAATATGCGTAAGGTTGGTGTCATTCAGGCCAATATTGAATAAGATACAGTCATTCAAAACATTGTTAAAAATCTACTATGAAATGTACTTGAACATTTTTACTTCCTGTGCATGCACTTATCATTGGGTTGCCTTGATATTTGTTTGTCACAATTATTCTGAGCAAGCATACTTCCAGTAGTTATACTTCAACTCTCGCTTGTCTTTGCCTTCCAGAGTAGAGTGATGGCAAAATATATGAGTAATATTACAAAAATATTTGCAAATCTTGACAGGTTTGATGTCATTCAATTTGTCAACAGAAGGAAGACACTGACATGCTGGCATCAGGTGGGTCATTCTAAGATCCTTTTGTTAGCCTGTACATGCGGATGTATTTGTACCATTTACATTGTTGAACTACTGCAAAAGGTTAAAACAACCAAAAGAGTAAGTTAAAGGGAAAGATGATATTTCATTTGCAGATGACCATGGGCTATAACATTTTTTTGTAACAAATATACAAACACATATGACTTGCTTCTTGCTCAAGAGACTTTTGTAGGGAGAGCTGCTGTAATATTCTTTTACAGTCTCATGTTTTCAAAACAAAATGTATGGCAAAATATCTTTCAACGTACCGGTAGTTTGATTCTCAGTTTCCTTTGTCTCTTCAAATTCAAACTACAATAGGTAGAAAATAATCTAACCAGACTTTTATTTTAAACTACACAATCGTGTACAAGAGACCAAACTAATTTTTCAATCTAACAGATGTTGCAATGATAGGGTATTTGCTTCTTGCATTATTTTAATTCTAGATACTGAAGAGAGCGAGGAAACTCCTAAGACAGTAAGTGTGTTCCTACTCTACGGAAGCCGATAAGGGACAATCCCAAAATATTTACGAAATCCGAAAAAATGTTTTTAAAATCCGAAAAAATATTTCAAATCGTAATGTTTTTTGGAAATCATCGTTGAAGAGTTTATCAAATCTGAAAAACTATTACAAATCCTAATAAAATTATTGAATCCACAAATATTATTTTGTAAATCCGAAACATGTTTATAAATCCGAGAATTGTCGCTAAATCCTGAAAAATATTTTGCAAATCCGAAAAAATATTTTGTCACGTGTTACTTGCGCCAGCAGTCTGCTACCAACAGCGGTTTGCCCCATCCAAAATGGCGGAGTTTTGTTCCACTCGTGAACCCTGGACGCAAATTTTGCTTCAAATGTGGTTCCAAAGTTGCAGGGATTTCACATCCGAGTGCAAGAATAAGTACATTCGAAGATGAGCGTGCTTCTTCCTCGTCATCTTCGAAGTCATTATCACAATACTTCACCTCCAAAGCGGAAGAACGCAGAGGATCTAAGTTTAACAAACCAAACAACTAAGCCGGTTTCAAAAATAACACGTTAACGATCCAAGACCCAGGATCCAGTTCAGTTTTCAAAGTATCTCCGTTCATATAGATCTCATGGTACTCGCTCAGCGAGTGGACAATGGTATCGTACCTAAATCCCCTCAGTTCAAAGTAATGTTCTATTACCAGCCTCTTCTCTGCCGAACTGCACAGACTTTCCTGTTGATGTCTCTTTATTGTTCCACACTGCCGACAGAATACTCCATTGCTCTCAAACTCTCTGCCACGTTTATGGAAGAACTGAAATCGTACTTTGTGTTATATTGTAAACGATTACAAACTCTTTATACTTGAATCACCCTAAAACCATTATAAAATCTGACTAAATATTTTATAACTAATCTCAACTAAACAAGGTATCAGGAACGGGAATCTCGTTTATTGATACAGCGAACGTTTTACACATCACCATAAAGAAATTACAGCAGTGAATGAACAATAAAGCAAAGTTGAAAGAGATGCCTTCGTGTGGCTCTTGCATAACTTATAAAATCTTGATAGCTTACAAGCCCCTAGGGATTAATCATACCTGCAAGCACGCTTTAAGTACTTCTACAGTTAACACGAATCATACATAATGAACATACTCCAGTGTCATTATTAAACGTGACAAAATATATTAACCCACACCCGCCCCTCCTCCCTGGGGGCTTGTAAGCTAGGGAAGAGGACGAAGAGATGAAGAGGACAAAGCACGCTCATCTTGAATGTACTTATTCTTGCACTCGGATGTGAAATCCCTGCAACTTTGGAACCACATTTGAAGCAAAATTTGCCTCCAGGGTTCACGACGAGTACGAGTCGAACAAAACTCCGCCATTTTGGATGGGGCAAACCGCTGTTAGTAGCAGACTGCTGGTGCAAGTAACACGTGACAAAATAATTTTTTGGATTTGCAAAATATTTTTCAGGATTTAGCGACAATTCTCGGATTTGTAAACTTATTTCAGATTTACAAAATAATATTTGTGGATTCAATAATTTTATTAGGATTTGTAATAGTTTTTCAGATTTGATAAACTCTTCAACGATGATTTCCAAAAGACATTACGATTTGAAATATTTTTTTCGGATTTTAAAAACATTTTTTCGGATTTCGTTAATATTTTTGGATTGTCCCTTATCGGCTTCCGTACTACTCACACCACAGATGATTTGTTTTTTATTTCTTTTTCATCTGTCTAGATTTTTGACATTTTATGCATGGTAACCTTAAAATTTGAGTTGGATATAAAATATTTTATTGCTGGTATCAATATGGTAACTAGATTCATTGGTAGGTTAGAGAGTTTCTGTATCCTTTGTAGGCGGGAGTCATAGCTGAATGGAGTGAAGTCAATCGCAAACTACGACATCATGGTTTCCAACCCGTCATGGTGTTACCATCCAGCAGATTGCAACATCTTCCTGGTGGTAAGAAAACTATAATTTTGAATGTGTCTTTTAATGCTGGTCTGGTGTCTTTGTGCTAGGAATGTGCCAAAACTCATGTACACAGGGTTCTCAATAGGACTTGAAGAATGTGTCTGGTCAACCTTCATTAGGCAGCTGTGACAAACGGTGGGGTCGTAAACTGGGCGGGGGGGAGGGGGGGTTGAGGGTCTGAGACATGTTCCCAAAGAAAATTTTTAAATATATGGAAGCTCTGAAATGCAATATATTTGAAGCCACTTTGGGTATCAACTTCAATTATTACAGAATAACTACACAACACATTCTGTTGACTAGTTTTAAAAGTTTTATCAGAGGAACAAACTTTTCACTTTAGGTAAATGTAAAGGAAAAAGTCTTGTCACTTGGTTATTGTTAGTGCCAACTTGTAAGCTAGTTATTAGGGCCGTTTATACGAGAGAAAATAAGCCGCGGCTTACTCTGGCCGCGGCTTACATAAGACGCGAAAGGAAACATTTATACGAGTACGGCTTATATTAGACGCGAACTGCTCGTATAAATGGTTCACAGCTTAGTTCGCGGCCAGGTTGTACTTTTAACAAGCGTAGATTTAAAATTAAAATCGGAGAACTTACGCTTGCCGAGTTAACGCAGACATCGAGCTGCCCCGGAATCTCAAGCTCGCTGCATATGAGCAGGATTTGTTTTTCTTCTGGGGCACTCCACACATTTCTAATGTTACATGAATCTCTATCCGCCATAAATGTCAACAAAAGTCACTGCAACGCGCGTCTCCTGGCCGTGAAGGTCTGGGATATAATTGAAAACAGAGCATGCGCAGCAGTCGTTCACTGCTTCAGCAAGCCGCGGACAACGTTTGAGTGCATTTACACGAACACTTTCACGTCCAAGGTAAGCCGCAGCTTGGATAAGCCCATCACAAAACCCCTCGGCCAGGATAAGCCGCGGCTTGAGCTGACCTTGGGTTGAATAAGCCTTGAACATAGATTTTGTACCATTTATACGGGGCGTTCACGTCTTATGTAAGCCACGGCTATAGTAAGCCGCGGCTTATTTTCTCTCGTATAAACGGCCCTATTATTATTGTCAGCTTGTTAGCTAGTAGTTATTGTTAGTGTCAAGTTGTAAGCTAGTTATTATTAGTGTCAGCTTGTAAGTACCGTTTAGAGTATTGCCTCTATGTAATTTTCTGTCTGTTAATACCTGTTTTTGTTACGATTGCAATAAAAAAAATAATAAAAATAAAAAAGGTTGGCTCATAATAACAAATGTGTTTCAATACCAAGGCATTACGTAGCATTTAAAACGTACCTTTAGCCTTCTTGGCATTGTCCTTGAATTGACTGAAACCAACAAAACTTAGCACTTTTTTTCCATTTGGCTGCCATTACTATTGCAAACTGTGTAGCACTGGAATTGAGTATCGCATGACCATGTTTTACTGTGAAGGGCTGGGCCAAAGTGAATGTTCTATACCCAGAAGTATATGTGGTTGAAAACATGGTGGTTGTCAAGTAGGGGAGCACCAGCAGGCACTCTTGTTTGGTCTCAATTGTTTAGATTATTTTGTACAGTATATCCAGGGATGTCCCTAAGAGTAAGGTGCCGGCTAATTTCTCTGGCTGAAAAAGAGCTTATCACCAGCTCAGATTGAAAGGAAAACAAAGACGTGGGAATTTTAGAGATGAAAATGAGTAAAACAGCCAGCTTGACTAACCAAAAAGCCTGCTTATCATTTTCTTAGCTACATCCCTGTATATCACAAAGAAAACTCAAAATCAGATGAAAGGGATAGGTAGAAGACCTGAGCACAAACGAACAAGACAGGGTTGTCAATAGTAGCCGGCTGCCAACGAAAATCGTCACCAACTTGGTTAGTATTGGCCGGCTACTCTACTTGGCATTTCTTTACCAATGGCATTTTTAATTTCCCTGGTCTACTTCAAAACTTTCTGACAACCCTGGTAGGAGAAAAGCAGCAAATAAACTACAAAGTAAGGAACTACAAATTCCAAAGTAGGCAGCAATCAGTCACTGGGTGCTGGCTTCTATCGAGAAGCCTGTGTACTGAGATCAAAACAGAATTTTTAAATATCACAAAAACCGTATTTCTGGTATAACGTTTTCACTCTTTATCCACACAATGCACTCAGTTCTTGTACTGTATATAAAAAAGGTTATGTACATGTAAACCAGCCTTAAATTGGTAAATGTATCATGGCCCCAAGAGCTTGCTGAAAATTATGATTCTACAGTTGCGCTTGACCCCAAAACACACTTTTGGGATCAAGAAGTTCACAGCTCATCATTCTGTTATCATTAAACACCAGTCAGAGTGCATCTAGGAGTTTTGTAGTAATACTTTTGTACATTCTTGTCTTTCCTTAAGCCCGCCTCGAATAGCTTATAGCTAACTGTGGGTTCTCAAGGTTAGTATTGTGTGACTGTATAAGTTAGACAATGAAGTTTGTTTGCCTGTCGTTGTTGTTCCTCTTTATCATATCATAGGTCCTTTTGAAAATTTCCATTCTATTGTGAACATTGTTGTGCAATAATGTATTGCTAACATTAAAAAATATTCAATGATTTTTTTTTCTAGTAAATAAAAAGATGTTCAAAGAAATGTATCTCCTTATTTTTCCAGAAGCTGTTGTGTTGGAGGAGTTTACATCCAAGAATTTGCAGCACACATTGGACAAACTGATGACTGACTGTGATAGACGACAGTCAATGGTGCAGGAACTTATCTCTTCTTCTCACAGAATACAGTTAGTACTTTTTGCATTTCAATGATATTGTCACAGCAAACTTGCACAACTGCACGTACAGCTGTACAAACACACCGTATACAGTAGTCCATCTCTATAAAATAGGGGAAACCTTCACTGAATAAGGACCTCCAGCTATTTATGATTTTCTCCTGACCGCAAGTTTAGTAGCTTGAGAAAACAGCTGACATTTTATGATGCCACCACTGGTTTCCCCACCAAATGACTCCCGAGGAATGAGAGCAGAAATTCCTTACTGATGATATACGTGTCACTACTCAAGATCTTTGTAGTGCTGGTAGTGATTGGTTTTGCTGGTACAAAAATTTGTTTCAACCCATCAGAAGTTCACTTATGCTACAAGTTCATGCAATTTCAACTGTACATGTATGTGAGTTTAATATATTTTAATAAACAAAACTCAGAGTACAAGTACTAAATAAATTGCAGGTCTAACTTGGGTTAGTCAAGTTACAGATACATGTTACAGCTGATCTTTATCATGCCCAGCGGGCAGATAAGCCCAGAATTGTTTGACGTTAAAATAAACATGCTCATATTGATTTTACATGTTTATACACTGTCCATTTGCATTTGGAGCAGGCGTTTGAAACTATATTTGAGGAAATGAAGCTTGATTCAAATGTCCTTGAAAAAACATTCACTTTAATAATTAATAAATTGGTCTTGCTTCAATCTTAACCACACAGTGGCTTGCGCAAATAAACCATGTCGTGTTGTATATGTCAAAGCAAAATTATTGAGAAATCGGTCATGGGTGAGGCTTTTGTTTTCTGTCTCGTGAGACTTGATCCTTGACTTGATTCTCTATAACTGGTTCTCAATTCTCCCTTCGCGTGGGAATCAAGAACCAAGAATCGAGACACGCAACAGACCGTCAACTTACTGCAGTGTAAAACTTCTGACCAACTGGGGATTTATCTCAAACCTTTCCCCAAGGCTATTTTAAAAAGGTATGTTCTCAGTTGGATGGGTGTGGCTGTTCAGCACCACTGAATTAAAAAAATATATGATTGACGCATAATTTAGGAATGCTTAGTTATTTGTCTGTTAAATGAAATACAGTTCCAACAGCACTGTTAGTGACTACTGTGCATGTGTAAGGTTTGTAGTTGGTGCCTTTTATACAAAAATATTTGTTGTATATTATAGCAGGAGTATGAATCTCTTTTGATTCTCTCTTGATTCCGTAGGAGAGATGCTGATGAAGAAAGGAATCGAGTTTATCGTTTTGAAATGGAGGTGTGTTGTATGAAGCAAAACATGTGATGTACAATACGTATCAACCATTGTTGAGTCAACATTAATTTTTTTGCATGGTCTTCAACCAGCAAAGAAAACCAAAATATGAGTAGTAGTACTGTGTGTATTGTCCCATTTTACTGTTGACTGATCAGTTTTTATTCAGTTGAAATATTTATTGTTCCTTCTGAAAACCAAAAAAATTAGAGTTTTTAAACTCACTGTCACAAAAGGCAGCTGTAAACTTCCTTTAAGAAGAGGAGATTGAATAGGGACTGTGAAATTCCTTTTTTACAGATAAGAAACCTTCAAAGAGAGCTAGAAGAGGAGAAGCTTAAAACTCAGGTTAGAAGTCGTTTACTAGATATATAGCTAACTGTTATACTTTTCTTTATAAATTATACCCATTTTTGCAGTAATATATGGACCACAGTTCTTGGCAGTGGGGTGGGTTATCAGTCAAGAGAGTATCCTTGGATTGCTTACTACGTGTAGAAAACAAATGAGTATGTGTTAGTGGCTTGGAGCTAAGGAAGGTATTGAGACACCTTGGTGAAATGTAAAAATGTTTTCTCAAGAAAAAGTGATTTTGAATTTGAGCTCTTTTTAAAAGTTTTTGGAAGGGATTCAGAAAGTTTGATGGTAGATACCCAGTGAGGTTCACAGAGGGTCAGTATAAGTTAATAAAGAGATCAAAGTTCAATTTAAATAAGGATCAACACTGGGTACTTTGTAGGCAACTTTGCAACTTTGTAGGCTGGTGCTTTCTACTTAAAGTAAATTATTATTATTCTAATATTAACCCTCAAAAAAATTAGGTGTACAGGATAGGGATACAGTGGAATATTTCAAAGCTTTGAAGCAATCAATGGAGAATGACATACTTTGAGTTAATCAAAGGTTTAAGCCAATGAATACATAATTGATGAATGTGATGACAGTAATGTTTTACTTGTAGGAGATGGAGAGAGTACGTCTTGTTGAACTTCAGCATCATGGAGAGGAAGTGCAAGAGTTGAAAAGAAGCAAAGCCGAACTTGCTGCATTACATGGACAACTGGAGCATAAAGTATCTCAGAGAGAAGCAGAAATAACAAGGCTGCAACGTGAATATCAAGAGCTTATCAAGGTCTGGGTGTAGACTTATCATACATTAGCCTATCAATAGGAAAGGATAGGCATCTCTTTTAAAAGCTTGGTTCCTTTCAACCACACATAATAAGTGTTTTTTTGTTACTGTTCTGACTTATGTGACCTTCCATACAGTGCTTCTCAATTAAGGCAACAAATAATGTAATCTTTAAATAAATACAGCTGTAGATGTGACAATAGTGCATGAAAACAATGACAAGTCCCATGACAGTTAAGCATTGCTCCATCAAAATTTTTTCAGCACCTAAGGGACTGGTCATTATGTATGTAGACAGGGGAGGGAAAAATATGTTGGAAAGATCAAAATTTCTGTAAGGCCCCCCCTGTGGACCATGTAAATAGCAAGTGACCCCCCTTCTTTATTCAATATTTACGTGATGACCCCCCCCTCCACCTCATATCTCCTCTTACATGCTCTACAAAGTAATTATTAAAATGCATGTAACAATACTCTGTTAAGAGTGAAGACTTATTGGTAAATGTTACTAATCATAAGATGATTAGTTACTTTGCATAACAATGGAACTAACCTACTCTATTACAAAATCAGCGTATAAATATATGAAAAGTGATAGATTTTTACAAATCGTGCCTTCATGGTGAACACAAATGTAATAACCATGCAAAATATAACTCTTTTCAAATGATTTTCATACAGTTGTAAAAGGACTACTTTCTAGTTGTGTCATCAAGTTTTTCTTGGGATACTGAAGTGACACAAGCATTTCATTAATAGAAAATTCAGTCAAACCAAATATTAAAGTAGATAGGTCTGGATTCTTTATTAGCTAAAATTTGAAATAAAAATGAAGTTTAGAGTGCAAACAGAATTTCTGTCACATGCAAATGACTAAGTTGTACAAAATAATGATGCTTTAAATAGACAGAAAGCAATAGGATTAGCATAAAATTGTACAACTTAGCATTACTGTTTCACAAGTATTGTTTGTGCTCTACTATTTAACTGCTTTACCCATATTGGTCAATGGACCCCTCTTAAAATATACCTGGCGATCAAACTGCTGACCCCCCTAAACTTCTTTATGAAAAAGTTTAGCCCCCCCCCTCTAGCCAATCTGAAATAGCCTTGGACCCCCCCTTCTTTTTTTCCCTCTTCTCCCGCTCTACATAAATAATGACCGGTCCCTAAAATTAAGCTGGAAAGTATGTTATCTTCTGCATACAACTATTGATGTGTTAAAATGATAATTTGCCTTCTCTTTTTAAAATACTTCAAGGAGGGAAGAAAGCTCAGGAGTCGAAGCAAACTAAGCAAATATAATTCTCCATACAGGCATGATACTACAGATCAAAGGTACGAGGTAACAACATGGACATTTGAGATTGTTCGCAAATTTGTCAGTGTTTGTTTTTTAAGTAGTTTTGCGTCTTAAGTTTTAAATATTTTGTTCACTTCTTACAGTGTAACTTTTTCATGTTGTTGAATATGATTGACAGCTATGAATCCCAACTCAGTAGAGTTCAGCAAGAGGTTGGTCACTTGGAAAAGAAAACAGAAATGCACAGCAAACCTTCAAGTGTTGATAGTTTTGGTGATCAGAAGTCAACATCTCAGTCTGACAGCAATGGGGACTCATTTTCCCAAAAAGGAGCAATTACACAAAGAGTGGGCAGCAGTGCTTACACACCAAAAAGAAGTGAAGTTGAACTAGCAGTAAGATTCTGGCTGTTACATCAATATTAATTACAGTATTGACAGCCTAACTTATCTTAGCATCCATACTTTTGGTCAATGTGCCTTAACCTGCGGGCATAACAAAGTATTTCACAGTACACAGACAAGTTAAGGAAAGGATGTGCGTACAGTGTATTGTGCATTGTATCAGTAATGATTACATGCAATGTCAATTAATGACTCGTCATTCGTCGCCAAGCATCATTATTGTACAGTACTCAGAGAGTACCAGGTGTTATGGGAAGGAATGCATATTCATTACATCCTATTAGATAAGATGCAAGGCCACATACATGTAACTCTTGGGTTGCATCTAAAAGGTGAAAGCTTTCTTGCAGTACCATTCTGATATGGAAAAAAAAAGTTGGGCTTTTTATCCTCTCACACTCTATGTTGTCTTAAAGAACCAGTTAAGAGAATTCAATAATGTTTCAGTACATTGTAAGACTGAGTTGGTGGATTTGTCATGAGTTTGTCGTTCTTGTCTTATTTTTATAGACTTTAGAGAAACAGCTGAGAGAATCTAAAAAGTTGATTAAGCTTTTGGAGAGTGAGAACACACATCTGAAGATGGAGTTAGAATCAAGGTTTTGTGCTATTAATTTGCACCAGTGTGTTACATGATAATAATCTAAGCTTAATAGGAATATATTATACCTACCATCAAACCTGAACAGTGTGAATGTGACTGCCAAATTTCTCTTCCACAAGCACTTAGATGCAAAGGACAGAGGTTATTGTTAAGTTCACCCTTTCTCTCATATTAATTGTACGTTAATTGCATTTCAATGACTACGGTCTTTTAAATTTGTTAAATAGACATTAGAAAAAAAGGATATCCCCTATTAGTAATGGTGTAACGATTAATCAAAGTCTTGATTAATCATGATTATGACCGTTTGGTTCGATTCACGATTCTTTGCATCCACATTTCAATTTTGGTTTGATTTTTGCATACCTTTTCCAGGGTGCCCTCTGTGAGTTATTATATTGTAAAATCAGAATCCAGAACTGTGTCTGCAGTTTTGTGTTGCCTGGTAAAAATGCTGTCCTTCAACCACCCCTTGAGAATTTCCAAATAAGGCAAACCATGTGCAACACCTTCTTTGTCAGGTTCTCAAACATGGCGACGAACCAAGTGACTGTGAATCCTCCTGTCCCTGTTACTATTCTCCAATTGAGGGTTTAGGGTTACATGTTGTTAACGTTACACGTTTTATAAGAATTAAGGAACATTTACATAATCGAATCGAAATAATCTAAATCGAAAGGCAATAATTGAAATCCAATCAAATCGCAAGGAATATGAATCGTTACACCCCTACCTGTTGGTATGGATTTTAACTCTTTGGGCAGTTATTTAAGTTGTAGTTTAAGACGATTATTGTTGATCATCCATATATTTTTATAAAGTTCTTCCATTTAAGTTCATTTTGTTCTTTACAGCTGCTTGATACTGTTTGAGCAAAGTAGTGTTTATATGTTGCCGTTGGTCAAACTGAATATGAATTAAAAGTCACCTTTTTTGGTTGACCTTGAGATGATTGCCGTGTATGCATGGACAAAACCAAAGCCTTTAGCTGATAAAATAAATAATGAGCATTAACAGAAACCATTTTCAAGGCAATATGAAAATCCCTGAACTCTTTGTTAAAATTTTTGGCACTGCAACCCACATGGCAATCAAGTTAATCTCTTATATAAAATGGCAGTATCATTGTTTTCTTGTATTAGACCTAATCGAGATCACTGGAAGAATGCAAGGAAATACAACAAAAAGTTGGAAAAAATTCTTGCTGAGAACAATCTCAGGTGATTATTGAAGTGTTAGATATTTTTGTATTTTTTTTCACTTCCCCATTTTTTGCACTGTAAGTTTTGTCACTCTCAGTTTATAATGTTTCTGTCAAAGGCAATCCATTTATGTGGCTTTGTTATGTACAAAATAAGGCTTAAAAGTGGCTGAGTTTCTGACCGAGATTTTTCTTGAAGCCATTAATTTAAAGTAACAAAGAAGTCTCATGTAAAGAGCATAACATATTAATACTGTTCATGTTTATAAGACTTGCTTTTGGCTTCCCCCTAGTCCCCATAGGTTTATGAAGACTACTCCTTCGGCTCATCAATGTGGCTGAGTACTTTCCTCAAGCTAAAAATACCAACTAGAAGCAACGTTCTGTCTTTATAGCCTGAAATGCTTTTTCTAGCTCTTATCAGATTATTAAGGTTCCTGTTGTCAATTCATCATGGTGAACTGCACTGTACCTTTGCTTAACAACCCTTGTGTACAGTTCAGTTCTGCAAACTATGATTGTAAGATCAGTAGTCTGCAGCTCCACATGGGCTATCACACTCTGTCAGCTAAATTATTTTCACCATCCTAATAACCCTAGAATTTCTGCTAAGGTCATTCTTACCTGTTGTATTTACTAGGTGGGCACCCAATACATCACCAAATCATCCCTTCCCAAAAATGTGTTTTGATAGTTTTAATTTTAAGGTGTCTTTTTTCTCTTAATTTCCCAGTCTTCCACGGAAGATGAAGCAAAAAGAAAAAAGGGCCGTGGAAACTGAAGCAAAACCTTCCTCAAAACCACAGAGATACCGCACAAATGTAAGGACCTTAACTCATAGTTAGCTCTTTTTAAATGTTTCTAGTACAACTTTATGTTTCCTGGAAGTAATTAATCAAATTGATTTCTGGACATAAAGCTGAATTAGTACACAATGTTACAGATTATGATTAATTATTTTTTGGTAATAACATGGTTGCCATAGGTAAGGAAATGGTTTTTTAGGGAAAAAAATTCTTCAGGGGAAAAGTCAGGGCATTTCACTTCAAGTCAGGGAGAAATGTAATTTTAAGAGTACATATTTCTTTTCCCTCCACTTGTATTGTCTGTAACATTTAAAATTCTCTTTTACATTTTGCGGACATGAATTGTGTTGTGTTTAATTGGTGTAATATTGTTCATGAAATTGAACAACAAGTTCAGTGTTCTCCCTAAATTTTAGCTCAGCGGGTGAAGGACCATTCATGGACGGTAAGACAGAAAATATGTGCCAGAGGCACACTTTCCTGGGGGGAGGGGGGCAGTGGAGTAAGGGACATGGCCCCGCCCTTGCTGGGTAATTTAGGAGCTAAGTTCCCTGAAACGTCATTCCCTCATTTTACGACCTATTTTTAAACCCTAATGTTTTACTCTGTCTTCAATGCTCTGTTTCCAAAATGAAGAGAAAAGCTGGGTATACTTTATTACACTTCCATATATTCATTCATTACCTTGATCAGATCAGATCACAACTTGCTTATATTTGTTAAACAACTTATTTCATTTTAGTAAACCTTCAAGCGGTTGCATGCGGTAAAAAGTGTTGCTTCAAACAGTAAATTTTACTGCTTACCGCTTGATAAGGAGGACACTATCAATACATGCACACCATTACTTGCTGAAAGCATAAACAAATGAGTGGAGAGAATTAATGGTTGTGAGGGGAGCATTGAGTCCATTATCAATACTAATTTTTGAAATTGTTTATTCCATTGGTCAGGGAAATTTTACGTTTGTCAGGAAAAACGTCAGAGAATTTCAGAAAACTCTGGCTGTGGCAATCATGAATAACTTCTGTTTAATTTCTTTTCACTTCTTTATGGTTTCAACCATTTGAAATTTAAGCTGTATCAAAGATGGCCTATATGCCCTTTAAAAGATTCATAGTTTTCCATACAGTTTTCATGAAAAAAGAATTGTTTGCACATCTTATCTGTTTTTGGGTTAGAATAATATTATTATTATTAGTTGAAGGGATTGCTTGTTTCAGACATATGCAAGTATTCATACACAAATGGCTTCTTTTCCTGTAGATTGAAGACATTGATTTTCTACCAATTGATGTTTGTCGAGAGTATTTGAAGGTATTTTCTACATAATTATCTGCTGCTTATGGATAAGAAAACCAGCTTATGATCCATTACAGCTGATTTCAGTGCAGAGAACAGAAAAAATTTTAAAGGAAAATAGATATGCAATCACAGTTAGGAAATTGTTTTAAGGGTTCATCTGCATATATGTCCTTTCAAAAATTACCAGGACTCATGTTATATATTGCTTATTTTATTCTTAGGAAGTGTGCGGCATACTTGAGATTAATAACCTTCAAGGCATGGAAGACAAAGTAAACTCTTTGAAGTTGCCTGCACAGTCTTATCCTGCAATGGAAAAGGTTTGTTTGTCTGGTGGTGATAAAAATGTGTACATGTGAGGACATTATTTAGGCACTGATGAGAAACCTCTCTTGAAATAAAAAGTTTTAAAAACGGTGGTCTTTGGAATTTAAACAGTTTTAACAGGAGTACATAGTATCCATTAACAATTGACCTGTCACTTGGTTATCACTTGTATTTTTTTGCCAACTTTTACTGCATTATAACAGCAATTTTTTTTCTTCTGTTAGCTGATAAGAAATATCATGGAGTTACTCAGTTCAAAGGATTGCCCCAGCGCCATGTTATCTGAAGACATTTTTTCCCAGAGTTCACATGAGTTTCACTGCGAAAGGGCGTGGAAGAATGTTGTTCCTGTTCTCAGGAAGTGGCTGAATGAACTTACAGGTCTCAAGGCAAGTTAAGGCTATACTATCTTCATTTACAATTCCAGCTAGACTTGAGAGATTAAAAGCTGCCCTGATAAGTCCAACTGTAAACTCTCTCTGAGGAAATCACCTTCGGATTGTTGCTTTTTAGACAGCCATATTCCACTATAGACCTTTGAGTCAGTTAATTTGATTAATTCTTTTATCATTTATAGAGCTTTTTGTAGGGTTGAGCTGCTCGCTCTCAGATAAGATCTTGAATGGGCTTTCATAACATCTGAAGAATTATGGAGATCGAGGAGGGTGTTATCCGCCTCGGCCGTCATACTCAGTGTCATTCAATACCCTCTGAAATACAAGCTGTTTACACATGGTTTAAATTAGAGGACACAACCTATTGTTTTCTTTATTTATAATTTGCAAGGTTATTTATAGTGATCCAACTGGCAAGGTTGAAGGTACAGAAGAAACCTTGTTAATACGGACACAAAAGGGGACATGCCAAAGTATCCATTATCTGGGTGCCCATCTTAAACAGGTTAATTTTAGAGAAAATATATGTGGTTTTTTGAACAGTGTTGGGACAAACGAACTGTCCATATTATTATACACAGGTGTCCATAGAGCAAGGTTCCACTGCATTTTATACCTTACAACAAAGTTTTATTGTTTTCATAAACAGTGCATTTGGTGGAAGAATGTTTTCTTTTAAAGCATTGACTGTATTACCCTGTTACGGCCTAGGTACTTTGAAGCCTTGGAAAAAGTATACAATGTGGTCTCATCTTTTAAGATGAGACTACATATTAACCACTCCACAAGAAAACTAATGCAGTGAACACTGTTTCATCTTTTATAGGATCTAGAAATGTCAATCAGACAGCTGTCTTCACACTTGATGCCATGGAAACAAGCAGGCGTGTTTCAAGGAGACCACAAGGGATATTCAAGAGTACACAGGCTCAAAGAAGCAGTTGATGCTCTTTGTCAGGAAAAACGAGCCAGTCCTTCAGAAATACAAACAGACCAGGAGCCATCACTTGATCATCTTAAGAGCATCGTTGCTCACTTTCAAAAGCTATTTGATGTATATAGCATTGAAGGAATATTTCCACGGATGAATGAAATATATATGCAACTTGGGGAGACATACAATTCAATGAATAACATGCGGGACCTTCTTGGTTTGGGTAAAAAGATTTCCCACTTATTTCTGTTTTCTGTCTTAGCATCCTCTCTCTTCTTTTTGCCCAGGTTATTCACACATTAGATAGTACTATCCACTGGGTAAAACACTATCCAACAGGCCCCAGTTGTTCAAACTTTGGATAACGCCATCCACCAGACAAAAAACTAATTATGTTATCCACTGGATAGTGATTTATCCAGTTGATAGTGTTATCCACCTTTTGAACAACTGAAGCCAGATCAATGGATATAAATTTTTCATGTGGACATGATAGAATTATCCTCCTTTTGAACAACGCGAACTTGTTTAGTAATGATTTGCTGTATTGTACTTTTCAAAAGTCACCTAAATTGTATGTTGCAAGAAAATTAGGCTGCCTACTAAAAATTTTCTCTCATCTGTAGCAAACCAAAATATTGTCATTTTTCCTTTTTTGTTTGTTTACGTGTTTAGATCTCCTTATTAGAAAACAGTTTAGAATAGGTTGCACAAGTTACATAGAGAGTTTTCTTTTCTTTTTTCAGAACCAACTTGCAAATCATCTGATGTGGTCAATGCAGTTGCTAAGCTTAGTAAAGCCAAACATCTGCTGATGGTTGAAGACTTGCCTGGGTAAACCTCCTCATACAGATAGAAATAATGGAGTTGCTGTCTTCAGTGTCACTAAGAAATAGTGTTTTCAACAGGAGGCTGTGCATGAGCTGAAACTTACATTACACTAAAAACTACCATGTGCATTTGAAGGGAAATTCAAAATATGGTTTGCACAAAGTTCATGACAGTAGCATGTTCTCGGCTGGTTTCAAGATTGCCAAAAGGATTTGGTGCTACATCCCTCGATTTATTACTATGTAGATGATTAGGTGTAATAGCTTTTGTTGATGACTCAAGACATCAGTCACTGGCCCCTAAGTAAAGGGCTCACTGAGTACAAAGATTATAATATTCATAAACATAAGTTGGTGAAGTTTCACTGTACTGTATCATCATTAATTTGTGTTCTTGTGTGATCTTATTTCTCTTTTTTCAGCATAATCAAACGTCTGGATCAGTATGATGAGTTCTTTCCAGCTTTCCAATCTCTTGTATCTGAACTGAAGAGGCTTTTAAGTGAGTGCCTTTGTATTCATAGTTATTGTGTTTTATACTGAGACATTGCTATTGCTGTAATCAAATGTGGGAGCTGCGTGAGGAGTCTGATGATCAGTAAGATACCTTATTACATGAAATTTTTGCAACACATTAATAATTCAGTGATTTTGAGAAATCCTTATTTAGCGGCACTTTTTTAGCAATTTTTTCCATAAATTTTGGCACATAAGTCACTAAATCTTCACGATTTCACTACCTAACTGAAACTGAAACATATCTGACTGACGGACACAGTTGCTACGTTTGATTAGGAGTCTAAGGGGATGCAGCAAATCCAGCCTCCTTCACACTGAGTATCACTTGTCTGACTGATCATTTGATTCCTCACACAGTTCAGGTGTTTGATTAGGAGTCAAAGGGATCCAGCAAATCCAGCCTCCTTCACACTGAGTATCACTTGTCTGACTGATCATCACACTCCTTACAGGCAAAACACGCAAACTTGCATTTGCCATGATCATCACAGTATCATACCATTATCCTCATGCTATTGTTGTGTATACTTCTCTTCTATGTTATCCTTCAGTAAATGCTTTGATTTGCCTCCACAGGAGTTCAAGAGATGGACGAAATAATAACAGCTGTTACAGCACTTGTCAAGTTTCCTCCTTACTGATATTTTTAAAAGCAATTAATTTTTTATCTTTAAATGTTGTTTTATTTATTTCTATATTATCTTTAATCTTATTTGTGTGAAAGCTTAGCACCAAAAATGTCTCTTTAAATAAATAAATAAATAAAGTTTAATTTACCAAAAAAATAAAATAAAATTACTTGCATCTGTTTTATTCTGTTTGCTGCATGGCTTTCCTGTTTTGAAGGTACGTTTATCCAGCTTTGAAAAAATAATTATACCCTTGTTAAACAAGTAAAAGATATACAGCATTCTGCAGCACAGATTTTGAGGTAGAAGTCTGTTGTAGAAGATGATGCACAAGATGTGGCTCGCATGTCATAATTTTTCCACAAAGGAACAGAACGTTTTGATTCCACATTATGAAAAAACAAGAAATTATGCAGAGAGCTCATTTTGGTGAATTTATTCCTCGAGGAACTCATAAACATTAAAGTAATACTTTTTCTAATACATTAGCTGTTTGGATAGCGAAATTCCCCGGAATAAGTCACTTTTTTTTAAGCTACATGACAGCTCTCTCGGCCGTCATGTAAATGCCACTTCACGCAATAGCTTAGAAATTCAAGAGTACTCTGTCACTCAGTACTCTTTATTTTTCTCTTCCCCTCATTTCGCAATAGGTTAGAAATTCAAGAGTACTCTAACCTCAGTACTCTGTATTTTTCTCTTCCCCTCGTCTCGCGCTTCGTCCTCGTCGTCGTCCTTCCTTTCCCTTTCTCACACATCAATCCATTTTATTTCCCTTCCCCTTCAGATGCCTGCAATGCAGGCAAAGACTACAGGATATCGCATTACAAAGGTGGTTAAGTGATACAATTAATGGCATAAGCAACCATGCCAAAAGAATAGAGTGAAATTCTACAGAGGAGCTATAATCTAGTCCCTGCAAAATACTGACTGATCATATCTGGCTAAAAATGTTGAAAGCTCATATTATTTTTTTAGCATTTTTAGCCAGAATGGAGTGCTTGCCCAAAGGCCTTGCCAGAAGATGATGATCGGCAAATCTGAAAGCATTAGTCTTCCACAAAGTGAATTTAAATAAGATGCTTAATAAATAGAAGCACTTTATTCACTGAAACAGGGCTTGAAGTATACACAGTGAAAAGTGATATCTACAAGAAAAATCAGCTCTTCATTGGTTCTGGTTGATCCAGTTTGTGCCCATGCTTTTCCAATTCTGCCCTGAAAATAAAGGAAACCGACGAAATCAAGGCAAGTACCTTACCAGGGCTACTTCAACGTTAAAACTGACGAAGTCAAAACTCGCAGTCTGGTACATGACTGTGTTTAAGGTGTGAATGGATGGGTTCAGGTCACTCAGAGACTGATATGTGATATATTTTTTAGTTAAAGGAGCTGTGTCACAAAATTCAGCCAAATTAGGAAATTACAAAATGCCTGTTAATGGACATTTTACCTGTAAAATAGAGTTAACTAATTAGAGCATACTTCAGCCATTGTTTCATTATGATTTACTTTGCCCTGGGTGGCAAATATGTTGCTATCGCACATAAAAGAACATTGCGTGACTCAGCTCTGGTTCAAGAGCTCCTTGTTTATCTTATGTTACATCAATAACTGACCTTCAGTTGTTTCTAAAAACTTCTGTGGTAACAAGTTTTCATTGTTAGTAGCTGTAATCAATACTATGTTATGCTTATATCCATCAATGCTAGCTGAGTGCTCCTTTGTTTTGTTCACTTTGCGTGCACGCGTTGTATTTTCCAATAGTAGTTTACTACGCATTAGTTTCTTATTTTTCCCTACCACACCTGCCCTCAATTTAATAAAGCTGGACTACTGGCTTGGGTGCACACCTCCTACTTTTACCTCCACGTAGCAGGCTGGGTGGGGCCCCCACCCCACCTTAGTTTATTCACTCCTGGGTGGGGATACGCTCCACTCGTTGCCTTGTCCATTACCATGCAGGGTGTGTCGCTGCCACCCTCACTGCACTGCTCATTGCTAGGGTGTCTTGCTGCCTCCCTCATTCCATTACGTATATTACTAGGGTGTGTCGCTGCCACCCTCAATCCATTACGTATATTACTAGGGTGTGTCGCTGCCACCCTTATTGCATGCACTTTATGGGGTGTGTTGCTGCCACCCTTGTTTTACCCCGGGGTGCACCCAACAACCTTTAGTCCCATTTACTGCCAAAGACTGTGTATTTTATCTTGGACTACATAGTTAAGCGATTAAGTTGTTGAATGAAGAAAAACATAAAAATAAATGCTTAAAACTTTAAAGGAAGGTTAAAATAACATAACAGAAACAACAGATGCCACTGATGGGCAAAACTGAGGAAGACTGAAACGGATTGAAATTAGGGTTTTTGAAAACTGTTCAGCCTAACAGTTTTTCAAAGTTGATCCCTGCTGCTTGCAACTTCAAAAATAACGTTCAGGAGACATTTTTGTTTCTCTCAGATCTCTGATTTTGTCATTTACCTGTAATTTCTTTGCTTACTTTAATAGCGATTGAGGGTGAGTAATTGGCAAAATTAAACAAAATGAACTGGACTCCCATGACACAGCCCCTTTAAGAAGTGTCTATTTTAAGGTTTAAGTAGTGACTACTGAATGATGCTGATGCTCATTTATTTGTATTTGTACATACCTCAGCTGATTTGAGAAGTCATCCTCTACAGTATCATCATCCCAGTTGTCCTCCCACACATGAATATCAGCTTGGTCTTCATCTCCAGCTGTCCACTCTATTAACAGGGAAGAAATGAAATCTTTTCCTCCCTTCCTTGAAATGAGCCTTTGGCACCCTTGATGTCTTCATCAATTAAAATAATAAAATATAATCCTGGCAGCTGGTAATTATATTTAATTTTTAAGTAAGCTTATACAAAGATTTTCTGTAGTGAAAAGTATGTGTGTTGAAAAAACCTTATTGTCTCAAGTGGAAGGAAATAAAAGGATGAAATCATGACTTCGACAAACTAAAATAAAAATAAGTCTTAGTGTTCAAACAGGAAAATTCTAGATTACATAGTCTAATAAACCTAAATTTGGTATGAGGTACATCATCCATCCCTAACACTTGCCACAACAGCCAAAATAATGGACCGATAAATTAACAACCGACCCAATGACAGGGGAAATTTTGGGGATATTTTACTTTCAAAATAAAGTCTCTGACCTAAAAGGTGACAAACGTGACAATGACATGGCACTTAAAAGGCTGACCTGCGTATCCCTGTGAAAGCACATGTTCAGTATCAGTGTTGCATTCTTTCTTTTTTCTATGTACATGAAAACGTGTTGAGCAATGTTTTACGGAAATCTGACCCTCAAAACTCGTACTATATGTACCTTCAGTGGGAAACTCTTCAAATTCATCGTCTTCTTCCAGTAATCCCAAATCTGTTTTTTTGACTGTACCCGCCATCTTGAAATGTAAGCTTTGGTTAGTGAACGTCATATATGGTTCACGACATGTACCATGATATTTTTCTTAGGCGCTCTCCCCAATCCTCTTCTTTTGCGTAGGATAGGTGCGCATTTAAGGTGCGCATAACCCTGCTCCAGCAAAATCACTTAGTGCCATATCTCTTCCTTTAAAACCAGAGGGTGAGCAGAGACAGTTTTTTGGGGGAAATGACGATGTTTTTCTGATAAGTTATGTGCCCGGGGGAGGGGACATCCTATAATGGCCTATTGTTGGTTTTCACATGACGTCACTAAATTCAAACTACAAAACTGAGATTTTGTTTTCATGATGTATTAGAGCAGCTGAAAAGTAATTGTCATACAAATTTTCGCTTCAAAAGGGTTATTGGTTTTGTAGCCTGCATGACAGGCGCTTTATGAGCCAAGCGGGGCGAACGCGATATTTCGCGCGGAGCGCGACACGAGGACGAAGCGCGAGACGAGGGGAAGAGAAAAATAAAGAGTACTGAGGTTAGAGTACTCTTGAATTTCTAAGCTATTGCGAAATGAGGGGAAGAGAAAAATAAAGAGTACTGAGTGACAGAGTACTCTTGAATTTCTAAGCTATTGCGAAATGCGGGGAAGAGAAAAATAAAGAGTACTGAGTGACAGAGTACTCTTGAATTTCTAAGCTATTGCGTGAAGTGGCATTTACATGACGGCCGAGAGAGCTGTCATGTAGGTTAAAAAAAAGTGACTTATTCCGGGGAATTTCGCTATCCAAACAGCTAATGTATTAGAAAAAGTATTACTTTAATGTTTATGAGTTCCTCGAGGAATAAATTCACGCTTTTGTACCAAAACGCGGTAAAAAATGTTTTTGTTGGTTTCCGTCCGCCATGTTGGTGCCCATCCAGGTGGGCACCAGCATGGCGTCTCCATACAAATCTCTATAAATTAGGGTAAAACATTTCTTCGGATATCTCGTATACGGAATATTCTTCCTGTCATGGTAATCGCAAATGCGATTACTTTTCATTTCCAGTTGGAGGTGAAGAAAAGTGGGAGAAATTCAAAAGTAAGATTGCCATATTCATCTCTTAAAGTTTGTTCCTTTATCAATGGATATATCTGACTAGATTTATGAAAACATGGCTTCAGTGAGTGTCTAAAGGTCCTATGCTAAGTGCGTCCTTGGTACCAAGACTTTGACCCTCTCCACCCAGGACGATGGGTGACTGTCTGCACCTCCCACTGAGCTCTGCTATTATCATGATAATCATTCTCAGCAGAGGCGTGATTCAGCTGGCTAGGGCAAATTAAGACCAAGGTACTCGCCAGTCAAAGCCTGCACTGAACACTGTTGTTTACTGAAGGGATTGTGTCAAAACAGCCCCCTCCCTACCCAACTAGTTTTGACCCCTGGGCCTGATCCACCCACCCACTGTTAGGGCAGTCCCTGGGCTATCCAGCTGTACCGAGCAAGACGTCAAGCCCCCTACATTTTTGGGCACCAGACTGGCCTGGAGCCGGGCTGCACCTGGCGCCAGGCGAAAATCCAGTGGCCACGTTTTAACGAAATCAGACAGATATATATACCGTCTAATTTATACTTTATAACGTATTTGAAAAAGGATGACTTACCTGCAGCCTCTTAATTGTTGTTTGAAGGCAAAATCATCTAACTTTCTTTTTCATAAAAATGATGTCACATGACCTCTTAGTGCAAAAGGCATATTATAACATTCACTAAAGAAAACATACTTGAAATAAATGAGACAAAATAACCTTGTGATTTAACGGTGTATGACATTTGCAGACCGCAGACTGCAGACCGCAGACTGCAGACTGCAGACTGCAGACCGCAGACTGCAGACTGCAGACTGCAGACTGCAGACTGCAGACTGCAGACCACAGACTGCAGACCACAGGCTGCAGACTGCAGATATTTTTGTGCAAAGTTACATTGGCCTCATTCCCAAAATGCTGTTGGCTATTCTTCACCAACCCTTTATCATCTCACCCGGCATATCACTAATTGCATTGATTCTTCATTCTTCTTTGATTATCGTGAATTGATAATGACAAGTAGCAACGCCCACTAATGCCTGTCTAAATAGTAGTCTTCTGTAAAAAAACGTTTTTAGATTGCGAGCCTCTTCGTAGGATAGATCAACGACATTTAACACCTTTTAAATGACGTATTTCATCTTAGCAGTATTTAGGGATATGCCAAATAATCGAAAACAAACAGATCCTATCTGGACTCGACGAATTCCCAGAAGTGCATTTTGAATTTCTAAATACGCAAATCATTGCTCATACTTAAGTCCTAGTACACTGGTGGGGTCCCCGTAGAATAGGGATTCCGGCGCTGTTTCACAGACAGACTTATAGTTTAGTTTCGTCTGTGGTGCAGGTAGCCTGCGAAAACATCCGTTTCTCCTCGCTCTTCGCCGCTAGGGACGTTTCGCCCCCAGCGGCGAAGAGCGAGGAGAAACGGATGTTTTCGCAGGCTATGGTGCAGGCTAAATTGCTAGACTGTTGCTATGGATTCATGAGCAAGTTTGTGACATCGGCAGACATTATTCTACTCTAATTCAATACGAAAAGTACAGCCAACAGCTCCTTTAAGAATGAGGTCGGTGTAATTTACGTGAAAAATATAAACTTCGCTTCTAGGCCTTACTTTTCGGAACAAGGTAATGTTGATGATGACGCCACCTTTATTACGATATTTTTGGTTTCATTCAATTTACAGTCATACTGCCTCATGCAGTCTGCAGTCTGCGGTCTGCAGTCTGCAGTCTGCAGTCTGCAGTCTGCAAATGTCATACACCGGTGATTTAAAACATTCGTATTTTAGGCAACCATTTTTAACAAATTTAGTACATGTGTAAGCTCTGGAACCATCATCCTAATTTGTTGCTCACAGGTACAATAAACTTGCTTGCAATCAAAGATTAATACATAAAAGCATACATGAGGCTTGGTTGCTATAGAGTATGAATACAGTAAGATGGTTTATTGCAAGGACGATCAAGACACAAAGTCAAACTTCTTCATGACTGATAAGTTGTATTATTTGAGTATTCTCATTGTTACCCCCTCCCTTATAATTTTGCATTAACTATCATTTTCATTATGCTTCAGGGCAAAATATTCAGTCATGATAAGTTGTGCTTAGTAGTGTGACAAGAAAAATGAAATTTTTATCCTTCACAAGTTTGATTCAGAAGAAAACTCGCAGAAAAATTGTCACATTTCTTTTTTCCCCAAGACCATTGCAGATTCATTGTATCATTTTTTTAATATTGCTTACTCAGTTGTAGTTATTTCATTGCAACAGTTCTTGAGTTGGATCTTCAGTTGAAAGCAAAATGCAATAAACTGACTTTGTAACAATGTGTCTCCTGTTTATACAGCGTGTATAAGTGGCCAGTTCGCGTCAGCTGAAAAGGATTGAATCTGTGAGCCGCTCACCAATATACAATAACTTCCTGGAGACTATCAATGGCACAAGCACCATTCGTGCATTTGGACAACAGCAACGATTTATACAAGAAAACTACTTCATAGTGGATGAAAATCAGGTGGCTTACTACCCATCAGTAGCTTCTAACAGGTAACAGACCTTTTACTACTCTGCAAGCCTCAATTTCAGATTGTTTCATTGATTTACATCACACTTGGACACACTTCTACCCAGTTAGCCTATTTCTATTTTCACATTGTTGGATAATGATAATCCATTTCAAAATCTTGTGGGTTTATAAGAGCTTGGTGGATGCTTGTCCTATTTCTGTCTTTTACATTGTAATCTTCTATTTGTCTGTTTCTATGACAAGTTTTGCTTTGGACTTCAAGCTGTCAATCCTAAATAAATAATTTATTTGTAGTATAAAGTGGGAATTCAAGATTAGCCAAATTGTTGTAATGGAATAGTATTGTTTATATTTAAGGTACAGAAACAACAGTAATAGGGTTAAATGTGAGAGATGGGGCAGGATCTTAACAGCCAACTGTCTATCTCGGTGTGTGGGGTTGGTAAAGCAATAAATTGATGCCTCAGAAATGTATTCAGTGGCTGTCTTCACAGCTGGAACTGATTCCACAATGTGAAGTCTTGCACTGCAACATTTCAGTTCCCTCTTATTTCAGGTGGCTTGCTGTTCATCTCGAATTTGTTGGCAACCTGATCATTTTTTTTTGCTGCCTTGTTTGCTGTTATTAACCGGGATACCTTGGAAAGTGGCTTAGTTGGTTTGTCAATCACTTATGCCCTTCAGGTAGGTTAGGCCTGTCTCTTTGTTGCTTATCGGTTAGAATGGGGTTTCATCATCATCACCACCACTATCATCATCATTATTATTATTATTATTATTATTATTTGGAATGAAGATTCACAGGATTCATTCTATTTACAGGGCAAAGATGAACTCAACAAATTGGCCTGCTCCCAATGAAGAGGTCGTCATAGCTTAGTAGCACTGCAGCGCTAACACAGAGGCCATGACTTCGAATCCGGGTTAATTTGCAATTGCCTAAATTGCAATTACCAATATGACGATCATATCTTCATTTAAAAATACTATTATTGTTATTGCCCTTTGTTGTTATTATTGTTGCTGCTGTTGTTATCACTGGTATTATTCTGGAATATTGTATATGAAAAGAGAATAAACCAAAATGCAGGTATATACTCGACATTTTGGGTGAAATGTGTGATCAGTTTGACTTTGTTCATGCACTCACCCCACAGATTACAAGTACTCTTAACTGGATGGTTCGCATGAGTAGCGAGCTTGAGACCAACATCGTGTCAGTAGAGCGAGTCAAAGAATTCTCAGAGACCCCAACTGAGGTAACATTCTATTAGGGTAGGAGAAATAAAGGAATATTAAGAATCTGCCAGTGAATTCAGATATGGAATTTAAGAATTGCATGAGTGAATCAATTAAGTTTGAAGGAGACGAACAACAGTTGGCTACATGCTCTGAGAGGCTGTTGTAATTCGTTATTCCTGGTCTTTTGTTTTGAAGTTATTATCTGACTGAATGAAACAAGAAAGTCAAAAAGTGAGTTTGCATAAATAATGAAATGAAGTTGGTAATAAGTGGTCACTTAAATAGCCATTACACCAGCATCCTCAAACTGTGACTATAAACCAGCGAAAGGAATATTGAAACCTTTTCAAACTTGCTGTATGTGTCAAAAGATGTTCTAGAACTTGAAAGTACACCTATGAAGTGAATATATTTGGTTACTTTTTTATCATTAATTTATTTGAACTGTATATTTATTTATATATATTTTTTCCACGCTGGGCTGCAGGCTGGGTGGATCATATCTGATAGTCGACCCCCTGATGATTGGCCCAAACAGGGTAATATTGCAATAGAAGAGTTTGACTTAAAATACTATAGTACTAAAGAATATTAACTGCAACATCAAACCAGGAGAAAAGGTGTGTTAAGCTGAAGGTAGTTGGGCTCATTACAATTTTTCCTTTCATCCCCTCTTCCTTGTCTCATTTTCCTTTTCCTCCTGCTTTGCCTCTTTTCCCTTCCTTCTTGTTTCTTTGTCTTCTCTTTTCTGGTAAGCAAGTTGTTTTTGCTTTAATTTCAGATTGGTATTGTGGGTCGAACGGGGGCTGGCAAGTCCACGCTGACTTTGGCTTTGTTCCGTATTCTTGAGAGAGCTGGAGGAAAGATTGTTGTTGATGGTATTGATATTGCTACGATTGGACTTCAGGATCTGCGATCACGACTTACCATCATTCCACAGGTAATGACATAGACATGTGTAGAACCCCTAACCCCTAACTAAACTTTATCCCTGTACTGGGGTCATTTTGATAAAACGTTTACAAGTTTAATTCACGAGTGTGGCTACACTTGTTAAAGTTTTATAAATTAATTGACTCCTAGTTTAATTTTAATTTCCTTTGTTTCAAACTTATTACATTACCATACCCCAAACCAAGGGGAAATATATAATAACATTTAAGCCAAAGATAGAATTAAATAGCCTGTGTACATTGGTCTCCGAACCACGGCACATAGAGTTAATACCCCTCACTCTATTGATATGCACTTTTATTCTAGTTTTCTTGCCCTGCACCCTTGTTTAAATTATGTTTTGTGCTCTTTCAAAGGACCCTGTTTTATTCTCTGGAACTCTCCGTCTTAACCTGGATCCATTTGACCTTCATACCGACGAGGAATTGTGGAAAATCCTGGAAATAAGTCATTTAAAGAACTTTGTGTCAGGACTGGAACAAGGTCTGCTCCACCCAGTTAGTGAAGGAGGAGAAAACTTAAGGTAATCCTAAGGGTCTTGCTCCAAAAACTTCATGCATACATTCTTTCTCTCTTCTTGGAAAGTTAAGTGGTATTAAAGATTAACGCAACGTTGATAAGAAGGAAACTAGTTAATTATCAGAGCCTGTATACATCCACTCCCTCCCCTTGAAAACTGAATAGGAGATGGGGAGGTTGTGTCTCTTCCCGGATGTACTCTGGATAGTTAATTATTATAAGGCTTGTAATTTATTACTTTGTTCCCTTACAGTGTTGGTCAGCGGCAGTTAGTATGTTTAGCACGTGCGTTGCTTCGTAAAAGTAAAGTTCTTGTTCTTGATGAAGCCACAGCCGCGGTGGACCTGGAAACTGATGAACTCATTCAACAAACGATTCGGCGGGAGTTTGCTGACCGTACCGTGTTTACTATCGCTCACAGGCTCAACACCATCATGGATTATACAAGGTACCATTACTGCGCTGTTCGATTTGATGTTTAAAATTTTCCCTTACAACCTATTTGTGCTTTTTTCATTTTTTCCTTTTTTTTTTTCCTGTAGAGTTATGGTCCTTGACAAAGGTTTTATGGTAGAGTTTGACACCCCACAAGCATTACTTGCGCAGCAGGGAATTTTCTACAGCATGGCTTGTGACGCTGGTTTGGCCTAAACTTATTCAGAGTGCAGAACACTGATAAGAAAAGTTTACTAGCACAGTGCACTGCTGGCAGAGGAGGCCTCATGCTTTCTTTAAATTAAAAACGCATTGAACTTAAACACAAGCAACGTTTTTAACTTGAAAATTTTGTGTACAGCTTTTAAGGTAGTAACGTTTCTTGAATAAGCAATGATGTGTATTATTAAGATGGGGTCATGCTCTCAACAAGCTGGTTACAATTATATCTTCGACCCGGGATCTTCGAGTACTTTTGTATTTGCTCACTTAGCCAGTGGAAGTGTAGCGATGAGGAGGACGTCTGTCGCTTACTCAATGGATCACATATGACTGTACAAGTTTATTGATATGGATACTATGGGTTAAGTCCAAAGGGCCTGTTTGTCAGTTAGCTAAGGTCCCTGTATTATACTCTTCGCCTCGAGTTAACTCGTGTCTCCTATCATATTAATACATTGTATTCCACGTTTTATTGTTGACTATGTAACAATAAAAAAGCAACAGAAAAGTGATCCCCCAGCGTAGAGAGACCGTAAAATAGAACATTTTAAATTTAATTTAAATATCTCGTGCCGTGCCCTTTTAATTTCATGGTTTGAAAAGACAATCCGTTTCAATCCACGGCAAAGGTTCGTGTCTCACACCCAGATATACTTAGGCTACAATTGATTATGACACTATTTTGTGCCTTCCTTGTTGCTTATACAAAATCCTTGCTCACAATGCAAACGTAAATGGAACTTACTGCGGTCAATCAATTTCTAAGAGGTTCTGGGAAACTGTGTCGCATTTTAGTTCCCTCGCACAGACTGAACTGAAATCAAGGTCTTTTTATAATGGCATTGTAATTTGGTTAAAAATAGAAGTAAAACTAGCACAGAGGAATCTTTTTAGGAAAGTCTGGAATTGAACTACTTGTTTTTGTTCTTTTATATATAGCAGCTTAAGGATCATCCGACTGAAAGGAAATTGCGCCTCTCCAAGAGCATTAACTTGGTAAAAGAAATAAATTCTTACGGAACTTTCGCGTTTTAGTTGCAGCAGTTGAAGCTATACCTACGGGCAAAATGATCAGGAGTATTGGATTTCGTTCTGCGCTAGTTTTCATTCTCTTTCGCTCCTTCAGTGAAGTCCTTTACAACCAGGGAAAAGAGCCGGAACAAATCTGACGCGGACACAGGTAGATACCGCTAACTCAGTCCGCAGAAAACGTTGGTTTTGAAAAAGGTCTTTTTCTTTTTACTAGTTAAAGATTTTGGGCTTATAGTTTTTCTTGACCAAGTTTGGACGTGCTAGGCCTAGGGCGTCCCAAACATTTGTTGAGGGCCTGCATTAAGTGCTTTAACGGAAAGCTGTCGTCTATAAGGGTTTTTTGTGTCTTGTTTCAAGTTTGAAATCCATACCGAAATAAGTATACAATGGATTTACATATTGCTAAACGCACTTTTAAAATACAATCCAGCCATGAAAGGAGGAATCTTAATTACCGCTTACCCTAATTATATAAAAAAATGATATTCTAGAACGAAAAAACGCCTTTTTAGGCTATAAAAACAACAAGTCCAAAAAGTCGAAAAATTGACATTTTTCCTTAGGGGTTAACCCAAGGTTTTGGTCCAAAAATGGCCATTTTTCCAACTCTTTTTTTTTTAGACAATATAGGCCAGGAAAATGTCTTTTATGATATTCTAGAACAAAAAAACGCCTTTCTAGGCTATAAAAACAAGAAGTCCAAAAAGTCGAAAAATTGACATTTTTCCTAAGGGGTTAACCCATGGTTTTGGTTCAAAAATGGCCATTTTTCCAACTTTTTTTTTTTAGGCAATATAGAACAGGAAAATGTCTTTTATGATATTCTAGAACGAAAAAACACCTTTCTAAGCTATAAAAACATGAAGTCCAAAAAGTCGAAAAATTGACATTTTTCCAAAGGGGTTAACCCATGGTTTTGGTCCAAAAATGGCCATTTTTCCAACTTTTTTTTTTTAGGCAATATAGGCCAGGAAAATGTCTTTTATGATATTCTAGAACGAAAAAACACCTTTCTAGCCTATAAAAACATGAAGTCCAAAAAGTCGAAAAATTGACATTTTTCCAAAGGGGTTAACCCATGGTTTTGGTCCAAAAATGGCCATTTTTCCAACTTTTTTTTTTTAGGCAATATAGGCCAGGAAAATGTCTTTTATGATATTCTAGAACGAAAAAAAACCTTTCTAGGCTATAAAAACATGAAGTCCAAAAAGTCGAAAAATTGACATTTTTCCAAAGGGGTTAACCCATGGTTTTGGTCCAAAAATCGCCATTTTTCCAACTTTTTTTGTTTAGGCAATATAGGCCAGGAAAATGTCTTTTATGATATTCTAGAACGAAAAAACACCTTTCTAAGCTATAAAAACATGAAGTCCAAAAAGTCGAAAAATTGACATTTTTCCAAAGGGGTTAACCCATGGTTTTGGTCCAAAAATGGCCATTTTTCCAACTTTTTTTGTTTAGGCAATATAGGCCAGGAAAATGTCTTTTATGATATTCTAGAACGAAAAAACACCTTTCTAGGCTATAAAAACATGAAGTCCAAAAAGTCGAAAAATTGACATTTTTCCAAAGGGGTTAACCCATGGTTTTAATCCAAAAATGGCCATTTTTCCAACTTTTTTTGTTTAGGCAATATAGGCCAGGAAAATGTCTTTTATGATATTCTAGAACGAAAAAACACCTTTCTAGACTATAAAAACATGAAGTCCAAAAAGTCGAAAAATTGACATTTTTCCAAAGGGGTTAACCCATGGTTTTGGTCCAAAAATGGCCATTTTTCCAACTTTCTTTTTTAGGCAATATAGGCAAGGAAAATGTCTTTTATGATATTCTAGAACGGAAAAACACTTTTCTACGCTATAAAAACATGAAGTCCAAAAAGTCGAAAAATTGACATTTTTCCAAAGGGGTTAACCCATGGTTTTGGTCCAAAAATGGCCATTTTTCCAACTTTTTTTTTTTAGGCAATATAGGCCAGGAAAATGTCTTTTATAATATTCAAGAGCCAAAAAACAACCTTCTAGCCTATAAAAACATGAAGTGCAAAAAGTCGAAAAATTGACATTTTTCCAAAGGGGTTAACCCATGGTTTTGGTCCAAAAATGGCCATTTTTCCAACTTTTTTTTTTTAGGCAATATAGACCAGGAAAATGTCTTTTATGATATTCTAGAACCAAAAAACACCTTTCTAGGCTATAAAAACATGAAGTCCAAAAAGTCGAAAAATTGACATTTTTCCAAAGGGGTTAACCCATGGTTTTGGTCCAAAAATGGCCATTTTTCCAACTTTTTTTTTTTAGGCAATATAGGCCAGGAAAATGTCTTTTATGATATTCTAGAACGAAAAAACACTTTTCTAGGCTATAAAAACATGAAGTCCAAAAAGTCGAAAAATTGACATTTTTCCAAAGGGGTTAACCCATGGTTTTGGTCCAAAAATGGCCATTTTTCCAACTTTTTTTTTTTAGGCAATATAGGCCAGGAAAATGTCTTTTATGATATTCTAGAACGAAAAAACACCTTTCTAAGCTATAAAAACATGAAGTGCAAAAAGTCGAAAAATTGACATTTTTCCAAAGGGGTTAACCCATGGTTTTGGTCCAAAAATGGCCATTTTTCCACTTTTTTTTTTTTTTAGGCAATATAGGCCAGGAAAATGTCTTTTATGATATTCTAGAACAAAAAAACACCTTTCTAGCCTATAAAAACATGAAGTCCAAAAAGTCGAAAAATTGACATTTTTTCAAAAGGGTTAACCCATGGTTTTGGTCCAAAAATGGCCATTTTTCCAACTTTTTTTTTTTAGGCAATATAAGCCAGGAAAATGTCTTTTATGATATTCTAGAACGAAAAAACACCTTTCTAGGCTATAAAAACATGAAGTCCAAAAAGTCGAAAAATTGACATTTTTCCAAAGGGGTTAACCCATGGTTTTGGTCCAAAAATGGCCATTTTTCCAACTTTTTTTTTTTAGGCAATATAGGCCAGGAAAATGTCTTTTATGATATTCTAGAACGAAAAAACACCTTTCTAGGCTATAAAAACATGAAGTCCAAAAAGTCGAAAAATTGACATTTTTCCAAAGGGGTTAACCCATGGTTTTGGTCCAAAAATGGCCATTTTTCCAACTTTTTTTTTTAGGCAATATAGGCCAGGAAAATGTCTTTTATGATATTCTAGAACGAAAAATCACCTTTCTAGGCTATAAAAACATGAAGTCCAAAAAGTCGAAAAATTGACATTTTTCCAAAGGGGTTAACCCATGGTTTTGGTCCAAACATGGCCATTTTTCCAACTTTTTTTTTAGGCAATATAGGCTAGGAAAATGTCTTTTATGATATTCTAGAACGAAAAAAGACTTTTCTAGGCTATAAAAACATGAAGTCCAAAAATTGACATTTTTCCAAAGGGGTTAACCCATGGTTTTGGTCTAAAAATGGCCATTTTTCCAACTTTTTTTTTTTAGGCAATATAGGCTAGGAAAATGTCTTTTATGATATTCTAGAAACGAAAAAACACCTTTCTAGGCTATAAAAACATGAAGTCCAAAAAGTCGAAAAATTGACATTTTTCCAAAGGGGTTAACCCATGGTTTTGGTCCAAAATGGCCATTTTTCCAACTTTTTTTTTAGGCAATATAGGCCAGGAAAATGTCTTTTATGATATTCTAGAACGAAAAACACCTTTCTAGCCTATAAAAAACATGAAGTCCAAAAAGTCGAAAAATTGACATTTTTCCAAAGGGGTTAACCCATGGTTTTGGTCCAAAAATGGCCATTTTTCCAACTTTTTTTTTTAGGCAATATAGGCCAGGAAAATGTCTTTTATGATATTCTAGAACGAAAAAACACCTTTCTAGGCTATAAAAACATGAAGTCCAAAAAGTCGAAAAATTGACATTTTTTCAAAGGGGTTAACCCATGGTTTTGGTCCAAAAATGGCCATTTTTCCAACTTTTTTTT